GCGAAAACTCAAAAAAACAAATACTTAAGTATATAGGCTAACTAATACACATACTAAGCTTATAAGTTTGGACTGAAGGTATATCTAAAAAAACATATATCAAGTAACATAGTATTAAGCGTATATATATGGAGTGTCACGTTTATATCCACGGGCCGCTTTGGTAGTCTTCCTAGCAAATCCATAAAGTCGAAGGGAAACTAATCTAAGTCTCCTATCAAAGTCTATCAAAAATTTTTAAGATGATAGGACGAAAAACTATGTGATTTGTTTCGTCGGTAAAACCAAAAAATTCGCCCTAAAGATATACGTAAGATATATACTATTCCCTATATAAGATATATATACATATAACATATATGATTAGTGCTTCGTATAACATTACAATGATTCTCGAAAAAAATCGATTTTCAAAAATTTGACACAAAAATGCATTATATCTCAGTGAATACTTAAGCTATCGAAATGAAACAAACATAAATCACACAGCTATAAGCTATACCCTATCTATCTGTATCTTCAAGTTTTTGTGCACTTAAGTTCACTGTTTCGATTTATGCGTGTGGAACGAAAAATTAAAAAAATCGAAAAAATCAAAGTCCATGATCAGCGAGAAAATTTTTAACAACATAAGCAATTTTTAAAATCTTTTACATATAAATACCATACGATATATGTATACATTTGAGCATGGTGAGACATCTCAGTTCCATAGTCACTCCATATGAAAATGAAAAAATTTACAAATTTTTTCCTAGGGGGGTGAATTTACCTAGAAGTCCACACACATAAGAGATGGAAAGGAGCAATTGAGGATAAAGTTATCGTATATTGTACCCCATATATGTCTATCTTGCAAGAAAGTCCGTATGTTGAGTATTCGCCGAGAAAGTTGAAAAATACAAAAAAATTGATTTTTCAAAAACACGCTGAATGAGCGAGGGAAAAAATAATGAAAAGATTGAAGTCATATTCGATGGTTTTAAGAGATACGAAATTATTTTGGAAATATAATATCTACACATAAGTAGTATAATGTTACTACGTTTGTAGTTTTTCGTTTTATATCCACATCATACGTTTTTTCAAGGTCATCTTTAATAAATGATATATAATCTGAAGGGTCTAAAAGAATGGGATTAAATTTACCACTCACAGAAACGAGAGTAACATTATAAATTCCGCTAACTGTTAAATTTAATTCACAGTTATTATTCGAAATAATATTGATAATTGACATTTTTTATTACGATTAAAAATATGGTAAAGCGTTATTTTCCAGTGATAAATAAAACTAGAATAAGATTACCTCAAGAATTCATAAATTCAACGAATAAGAAATTCATTCATGTTATAAATTTTAGTGTTTTCAGAAAATATGAGTCAGTGTCATATTCATCAACAGGTTATATTTCACTTCATTCAAATTTAGTTCAATCAAACCCATATAATGACCATTTCATAAGATTTTCAGATGGTATTAAAAATGTAATTGATAGATTAAAATATGAACAGATTGACAATATCGAATTTTTGGAATTTTGGTTTAAATATCCCGATGGAAAAAAGATTGAAGTTAAAGATAAAGCTGATACTATAACAAAAACAATTACAATGACCGATCCGGATAGTGGGGAACAAAAAGAAATAAAACAAACGATAGAAACTGGTGAAAGGTCAATTATTATTGATTATGATTCAAAGGATTATTATTCGATAATGTTAATGCTTGAATATTAAATAGCCTTAACAAAGAATTTTTCAAGTGATATTTTATATTCATCAACTATTTTATTATAAATATCATTATATGTTAAATGAAGTTCAGTTGTTGTTCCGTTCTTTGATATCTTAATTGTGCTAATATCCTTTATAGGATTTATTTTTGCAACTGTTCCGCAGCATGAAACCTCATCATCTATGAAAAATTGAATCTTAACGTCTGAATCTTGAACATCACAAAGAATGGCGATAATGTGAATTAATGATTCATAAGGTAAAATAATTAAACCGGATTGGTCAATTAAATTTATTATTGAATCATAATTATTAATTATTATATCACGGTAAATTTTCATTAATTCAGAATTAATGTCTATTTTATATGGGTTCTCGATGTTTGATGAAAGAGGCGGGGGTATGTTGGATAAGTGGGAATTTCAACAGGTTCTTTACGGGTTCAGATAAAATGATTGGGTCTCCATCTTCTTTATTTTGCTCCTCCTCCTTTTTCGGTAAGTCACGAGTTAATAAATTTGGTTGAGTTGCTGACCTTGTTAATTCAGGGCTAACATTAACTTTAACATTTTGAATAATTCGTGATTTATCATCATTTACGTTATAACCAACCGTAATCTCTGCTTTTGCGTTAGTGTTCTTTTGACTAGTGAAACGTCTTCTCATTTATAATCGAATAAAAAAATATATTTAAACTTTTATTTTGCTGGAAGTTTTGAATCTATTATTCCCTGTATTTGTTCTTGAAGTTGATTTTTAGCTGTTTCATCGAAATTAATAGACCGAATATATTCATTAATTGCATTCTTATAATCATCTGATTTCTCAAATTTTCTTTTATCTGATTCCTTAACTAAATCATAAGTTAAACCTCGTTGCTGATATAATGGTTTCTTAATTAAATCTTTGAATGCTTGAGATAAAGCACCTGATGCAATTCTTGCTACTATAATTGGTTGGAATTGCTGTTTAAGTTCATCTTTAACATTTGCGAAAACTGGATCGAATAAAGCAACTTTAAAGAATTTCTTAGCTGAAATTTCGGGTCTAATATTTGCATATTGACCATCAAACTGGTTAGAATATCGTGGTAATCCATCCGGTCCCTCTTCAATAGCATTTAATTCTTCATTGAAATAAGAATATGGATTATAACGGTATGAATTAATTGGACCATTTTCACCTTCTCCAATGTATTGTTTAACAGCTTTTCCATTTTCATCAAATTGCATAGGATAACGTTCATTATATGCTTTACGTTTAGGATAATCAGTTATAGTTAATTTGTAACCATTTATGACTTTAATATTACCTTGACCATCAGTAACGAAAACTTCATTTATACCATCAGGTTTTCCATTTGGACCTGTAATGTCTGCTTCGTGTGCTTCCCAATTTGGACCTTGACGTTTGGCATATGCTTGAGCTTCTGGTAATGTTAAAACGTTTCTCATTTGTTTAACATCTTTTTGAAGACCAGCAACAATATGAACTAATTCTTTCATTCCATCAGGAACTTTCATAGTTCTATTATATGCACCCTTTTTGTTTGTTCCTTGTTTTAATGGAACCTGTAGAAGATTTGCTATTTCTGTCATGTTTAATTATAAATAAAAAATAAAAATTAATTATAAAAAGTTAATCAAATTTAACACTTCCTTTATTTAAATCAACTATTATTTTTCCATGTCACTAATTGCTGATATTGTGTGTAAAGTTCATTAATGCTCATTGGTAAATTCACTTGATAAAGCATAACGTTCAACTGTTGACGACTAAACCCACTGAAAATGAAAAGGGTTGATAGATTTGATTTAATGTTTGTGCTTAATGCTTTGAAATATTGAACAGCCATAAAGAATGAACACTGAATGTGTCGGACATTGAGTTAATAACTGATTAAAATATGATTTCTCATTTGTTATTAGTTTTGATTTCACTGCATCATCTAGAAAAATGAGTGAATGCAAAAATTCTCTATCAAAATTTGAAATAGAAAGTGTTTCAAATAATTCATCCCGTTGTTTATCAATAATTTTATCCTCTAATCCTTGCTTCTTGATTGTATTATATAATTCTTTATACATTAAAAAGTTTTTTAAATAATCTTCTGCTTCTTCTTGTGATAAATAAATAATTGGAATTTTGATTAAATGCTTTAAAGATTCAAATGTATCATCTGAAGGTGAACCTGAACGGTTGATATAAATTAACACATGTGAATGGGGGAAGTGTTAGCAATAATGATAATTTGTTTTAATATCGTTAATGTTTTACCTTTATTCTGTTTACCAATTGCTGCAGTGATTGAATTTAAGTAACATTCAGAATATGGAATTTTCATTAATTTTTCCTTAGATAGAGCATTTCTATTATCACTCAATGCTTCATTAATCATATCATCTACGTATGTATTATATACTCCTGCTAATTCTTCATAAGGGGTGGATGAATTTAAATCCATTTAATCAAAAAATAAATTTATAATTTTAAACATTTCTATTCATCAATATTTCATCATATGAACTTCTATACTGTGGTGGTGTACCTGTTGGATGATATTTCAAACCTTCATCCGGTGTCCATGTCCAATATGTAGTCCTAGTAAACCAAACCTGAGGAGGATTTGTCACCTTTGAACAGTAAGTGTCATTTTCACCCTGAATGATTGGATAAGCTTTCACTTGTACTGTAACTTGTGAGTTGAAAGTTTCTAATCCATCAAAGAATATACCCGCTCCATCACGTTGAACTGGAATAGTGCATAAGAATGAAGTTTGGTCTTTCCATGTTCTAGCTAATGGCGTGCCATCATCTGCATTCAGTGGTCTAGTTAATGAGTCCTCGTATTCTTCTGTGCATTCATTCACTCCATCTAAATCAGAAGCTTGAAGCATACGTGTAAAGAATATGTCACCCACTGTGGTCATCGCTTGATCGGGGAAGTTTCTGGAATCTATAGTGACCTGAAGACCTCGAAGCATTGGATTTTCTAAAACCGTTCTTTGCATTGCATTCTTCGGAAATGTTAACACAACATCTGTAACGTTATGAAGAGCGTATGAGAAATCTGAGCTGATACCTTCAGGAGTGATGCAACCTCCATTTAGTGAACGAACATCAATATGTTGAGCTGGAATCATGAATGGATCTTCCTTACTGAATAAACGTGGTATTGCTTTAACTGATTCTTCAATTAAACCGTATCCTGGTGTAATACATTTATCCTCTAAAACTTCCATCTTTGTGCATGAAATAATAACGTCATCAACTGTTGCGTCAGCAGATGTAGCGGCTAAGCTTGTAATTAATTTGGCAGGAAGTCCGATTTGTTGGAATTTGCGATCATATTTATAAACATGATTCATAATCTTTTCATAATTTTCATCAGTTATCTTTTCATAAACGTAATTTTGTAAATCAGCAACTCTTAACGGGTCAACCTGACAAAATACTAAAGTATCCCTGAAAACATAATATTTAAGAATGATATCACCAAATGATTTAGGATAATCATCGAACGCCTGAAATGCTAACAAATCATTTACCGGAATAATCATATCAAAAGTGACATCAACTTCTTCATTTGCTTTCTTGAAAACTTCTGAAGGGTCAATATATTTACCACATACTGAGTTATCATATTTTTGAACATTATTATATAACGAATGAACAAACTTTTTAACTTTCCTTTCTGATTTTGGTTTATATGTTGCAAATGCGAAAGATTCACGGGCGCAATCCATCTGAAGATAACCGGCATCACCTCTTTCGGTTTCTACTTCTAATTGTTTAAAGCTTTGATTTGATGATTTGTAACCAACGAATAAACGCATGCATTTAAAAGCGGCATCACATGTGAAAGCTTTATTTGAAACTAGAGTTGCTTTAACTTTGCGTTTAATATATGTGTCACCTAATTGGTTCACATCATGAGCTGGATTTGTAATTCTTAAATGAGTTTGTTTATCATCAAAATATGGAGTATCAGAGTCATAGCATGAACTTTCAAGTTCTCTATAATATCTTCTACCGTCATTCTTTGCGAATATTTCATTTATCTTTTCGAATGAATGAAACACATTTCCATTAATCGGTTTAGTGTTTGGCACCAAATAGTTAGTCGTCATTTATTAATAAATAAAAAATCAAAATTAAAAGATGAAAATGAATTTTTAATTTTGATGAAATAATCAACTATGGCTGCAGGTATATTTAAGAAACTGTGGGTAGAGTAAAAAGAGGAGCGAGTAAAGTTTGGGAAACATTGAAGAAGGGGGCAAATTGGATATTTAAGAATAAAGAAGCAATTAGTGACGTTGCTGAATCAATAACACCAAAAGCTGCCCCAATAAGAGAAGTTTTAAATAAAGGAGAAAAAGTTTATCAAAGACTACAACCGATACTAAGATAAAAATAATATTTATTTATTTTTCCACTATCTACATCCTATTTTATTAAGTATTCCTTCAGCAATTCCACCAACTGCGTTACCTGCTTGTGCTCCCATCGCCGGATTACCTGCTTTAGTACCTAATACACCACCTATGATAGTTCCTGCCGTTTTCGCTACTGGTGCCAAAAAGTTTGCAATGGGTTTAATAATCTTTTTATAAACCCAACCCGCAGCTTTCTTAATTCCATCCCATAATTTTTTAAAGAATCCTGCCGCCATTTCTGATTTAATATTAATTAAAAAAATATATTTCATCACTTATATTCTAATTTTTATTTAATGATAAATGAAACCGATTTTAAAAATAAATGAAACAGAGGAGGAAGAAATAAATGAAAGTGAAAATGTTCAACAAAAAATAAACGTTGTTAAACCAATTACTGAAATAAAAATTTTTTCATCTGTTGAAAAATTTAATGACTATTATGCTAATAATAAAAAATTATTTGAAGAATTGACAACGTGTAAATTGAATAAAATGTTTAAAATTGATGGATTCAAAATTTCAAAAATAAAAGGAGTGGTTAGTTTGAAATCTATTCCTCAATCAAGAATCACCTCATTAATGAAAATAGATGATTTAACAAAAAGAATAGAAGAGATTGAAGAAAGAATGAATCAAATAATTGATTTCATAAATTCAAATAATCATTAGTTTCTTAAAGTTCAATGTTGAACTCATCAAATTCTTCTTCATCATTACCATTACCATTACCTTTAGCAAGTTTATTTACTCTTTCAACTCTATCTTTTGATAGTCTTGCGTTTAATTTTTTCTGAAGTTTTTCGTTACCAAGTTCTAAAGTTTTACATGGATGATATATTTAAACCCGTTAAATTCTTTTTCCTCAGTTTTAATCATTAATCTACAAAGAACTTTAGTGAGGTGGTTTTGTTGTTTAAACCATTTATCCTTAATATTTGTTATAAATTCAATATCCGGAATTAATTCCCAAATTTTTGAATTTTCGATTAATTTACCATCAAATGCAAAAGCAATAGGTTTAATATTAAACTTACCTTTATAAAATAAACTTTGTATGCAATCATCAAAATAAACGTCTACTTGTTTAACCTGGGTGAGAATTGGTGAAAGTTTATCCATTAATTGATTCACAGTCACGAATTTTGATTCACTCATTTCTTACGAATTAAAAAAATAAATTATTCAAAAATGTAAGACATGAATTTTTAAAGTTTATTTTTTATTCATGAAAATAATTATTTCTAATTTCTTTTACTCTCTCGTATATACTAGATTTAAAGAATTCAGAACATTTCCCATAATCTCCTAAATGTTTTCTTATCCCTAACGTGTGCCAGTTATTATATGAAACTGAATAAACTTTATCTTTATCTTTACACCTTTCATCACTTCCAATATATTTATATCTCAGTTTTGATTTAGCGTTTTCATATTCATTAGCGTTTAATAATTCGCAGTCTTCCTTTTTAAATTGATGTTTAAGATATTCAGGATTTAATACTCTACGTTTATATGCTCCTAACTTAGTTCTAAAGGTTTTTCTACAAAATTTAGGAATTCCATCCTCTTTAATGTCATCAATGATTTCCATTTCATTATTTTCAATTTCTTCTTCTCGTTTATGAGGTCTTTGATTATGACTCCATTGATTCCATGAAATTAAATATTCTTTATCATTATATTTATACCTCATTAGCTTATTTTGGCTTTCATATTCATTTAATAATTCACAATCTTCATTTTTAAATTGAAGTTTAACCCATTCAGGATTTAAACAATGTTTAATTAATCGCGGAATATCTGACATCATCTATATATAGCTTCTTTTATAAAAGATAAAAAAATAAATTATTTTAAAATTAATGTTAATTTTTTAATGATTTATAAATAAATATATTTTAATGCATCGTCATATCCTACTACTATGGATACGCTCACCGCCTTCTGGCATACTCTCATAATATCAACATGTCTTTATTTTAATAACAAAATAGAATAATAGCCATATGAACTACTAGGTAATGATTTATAATATCTTTTTCTCGATCAAAAATATTAACTCATTATCATAGAAAATTGGGATATAAACTGCGAGATAAAACCTTTGTGACTTTTAGAAACTCAATAGTTTTGTATTGCCAGATCACATATATTTTGTCACGTATTTTATGTTGTGCATGAAAAATAGTGTGACTTCACTTTTGACAAAAAGTGACAGTATTTATGATTGTTTTGTCATTTATTTGTCAGATTTATAAATGGATAATAATGCTGTAAATCAGATATTAATTAAAAATATTTAAGATTTATGTTCAAATTGAAAAGCAAAATGATATTTTTTTAATTGAAAAACGTTAATATCTGATATTTTGAAGTTTTTAATATTTGTTAGTATCTTAAATTATTGAATGCATACGTTTTTTATGTTCTCAATTTTAAAAAAATTGTGAAGAATTTAGTTTTTTGGAGATGGATGTTTAATATTTGTGAGTGAGAATGCAAGCAGGAGTTTGGTACTTTAAGGCTAGGTTGAGATAGATTTCCCATTATATTATCTGTGAATATATTGTTTGAAAATTCAAGATATAAAAATATATTATCAAAAAATTTTATATTTTTAAATACAATAGGGTGGAAATATAGTACGATGAGATAGCAATATATTTTTTATAATGGGAGGTAATCTGAAGATAAGTAGCAAATTTTATGCGATTTTGATTGGGAGTTGGAGGGTGTGAGTACTATAGCATGTAATAGTATCTCACACCCTCCAATTCTTCCTATGGCGCCGAAAAATTTTTGGTGAAATGCGACGACATTTCACCAAAAAATTTTCGGCGCTATATAGAGAACTATAGTCTGCGAGGTACTGATTCTATCTATGTACCTCGCAGACCATAGTTCCCAGCCAAAATGTCAAAAATTTCGGAAATTCGAAATAATTTTTTTTGAGAAAAAATTAACCGTTTAACATAATATTTATAATATTGCTTATTCAATTAGACGGATTAAAAATTATATGTTTTCTTTTTATTTTTTCAATTAAATTATTAGCTGACTCGAATTTGTATAAGTTTTTTAAAATAGATATCAAAAATTAAATATAAAAAAGAAAACAATTAAGAATATTAAAGTAAATTCTTTATTAAGAAACAATAAAATGAAAATATAAAACTTTGTATGATTTGAGTGGATATTGAGAGTAATTTGTGAGTGTGCTTCAGCTGCATATGTAAGATTGTTCGGATTTAATTAAAAATTGTAAATTTTTTGTCTTTATATCAAACTATTCGACAAAACTTTGTATGATTTGAGTGGATATTGAGAGTAATTTGTGAGTGTGCTTCAGCTGCATATGTAAGATTGTTCGGATTTAATTAAAAATTGTAAATTTTTTGTCTTTATATCAAACTATTCGACAAAACTTTGTATGATTTGAGTGGATATTGAGAGTAATTTGTGAGTGTGCTTCAGCTGCATATGTAAGATTGTTCGGATTTAATTAAAAATTGTAAATTTTTTGTCTTTATATCAAACTATTCGACAAAACTTTGTATGATTTGAGTGGATATTGAGAGTAATTTGTGAGTGTGCTTCAGCTGCATATGTAAGATTGTTCGGATTTAATTAAAAATTGTAAATTTTTTGTCTTTATATCAAACTATTCGACAAAACTTTGTATGATTTGAGTGGATATTGAGAGTAATTTGTGAGCGTGCTTCGGCTGCATCCGCTAATTCCTTCTTCATTCTTAACATTCTTTGTTTTATTTAGAACTATATTATCTTATTTCTAAAAATAATACTGAATTTAAAAAAATCCAAATGTAATAAATGTAAGTGTTTATTCCTTAACTTCCTTTTTGTGATTTTTTGAATTTTCTTGTTTTTGAAATTATTTGTTAATCTCTAAGATTTTTTTCGAAGCCTGGTTCAGCGCAGAGATCTTTTGTCCATTTGGGGCCTCTTTCCCAGGCCTCAAATGGAGTCAATTTCTCCCCAAAGAGTTTGAATAATGCGGAGTGTTTCCATACCCTATTATACTGGGAAACAACATTGGGGATGAACTCAAAGACGTTCACTCCAGGGTTTGTCTTGAAAAGAGTCTCCCAACTCCTTTCAATTTTTCCATTTTCCTCTGGAGAGTACGGATGAGTTTTGAAATGTTTTATATTGAATTCTTGGCAAACCGCTTCAAAATCTTTTCCAATGAATTCTGTTCCATTATCTGTGAGAATTCCATGTGGAACTAATTTGACTAAATCAATTGCGTGACGAAATACTCTGGCAGTATTTTTCATTTCTTTTGTATCGAAAACATCCCAGCAAATAATGTATCTGCTTCTGTCATCAAGAAATGAAATTAAATATTGAAGGTTACCGTTATCGTCCTTCAGAAATTTCAAATCAGTATGCCACAATTGATTAACATATTGAGCAACGTATTCATGTGGATGTTCGTCGATTTTCTGATGCCTGTGAAATGTAAACAAATGTTGTTGATTGAAAATTTTGAAAGCATCGTTGAATGTAAATCTTTCGACTTTTTCGAAATATGATTCTTTGATCCTTTTGTATCCAATGTCATATTGTGCTTTAATTTCCAAAATTTTGTATACATCTTCCTCAAAAATTTTTTCTTTGGTCTTCCTCTTTCTTTTATTGGATAGCCGAGTAGTACGAAAATTTTTTTCAAACGTTCTTTTCCTATTGAAAGTGTTTTTGCCGTATCTTCGAGAGTTACATTTGGATTATTAATGTATTCTTGATATTTTTCTTCAATTACGTTGAGAACCTGATCGGCGGGAACGGTTGGGAGTTGAAAAGTTTTAAGATCTTCTGGGTTTTCGAGACGAACCAAGATGTCTTCCATTTTTTTAATTTGTAAATTTTTCAATTTTTCAAAAGATAATTTAAAAATACTAGTTATTTGATAAAATTTGTTTATTTTAAATAAAACAATTTTGAAAAAATTATATAATGATTTGAAGGCAAAAGCCAAAAACTTAATAGATAAAACGCTCTTTCTATATAGATCAACTTCTATTATTAAATTTATAAAAATGGAGAGATTTTGCAAATTATTTTCTAATATATTATATTTATAATCATTTTATTTATTTCATTAATAATTGTGAACCCAGAACATCTTCCCTTCAAAGTGCCAAGCATCAACACACATTCTCACTCACAAATTTTTAAAACTCATTGCCAAAAATCTAAAAAACTCACAATTTTTTTAAATTGATAACCCTCAAACCGTTTCCAATCAATAATTTGAGAGTCTATATGATAATGTAAAAGTTAAAACATTCAAGTATTTAAGTATTCCTTTAAAATATTAAGTTTTTTATTTTTCCAATAAAATTCTAATATCAAATATTTTTATTTAACGATTAATTTTATTTATATTTTTATAGTTTTTTTTAAGAAAAAATATTGTTAGGGTTTTATGGATTTTCAATTAATATACAAGATAATTCATGAATGTATATATTTCCAAGTTTTTAAGGATGCAACACTTTACATTTGTAAACTGTCAAAAATGAAGTCACGCTATTTTTCATGCATTACATTGTCACGTATTTTAGAAAGCATTAATGTCAAAAAAAATTGAGAAATTGTCAGAATGTGGAAAGAGAGTGTATTAGACTTTAGATATTCAGGTAAAGTATACTTTTATATTGGATAGTGATACTATACACTATTAAGTATCAGAGTATTAATTCCTTTGGAGAATATGTAAAGTTGCTTACCAGACCCTAATTTTTTTTGTCAATTGACAATTTTATTGAAATTAAAAAAAATGGAAACACAGCAGCGATTTTATGACTGCTGCTGCATTTTTGAAAAGAAAGTTAAAGGAGCATGCTACCCATTCGAAATTACACCATCTGAGTATAATTTCGAGAATAGTTTTCCAGATTTCATTACAAATATCTTTCCACCGAATATTACAGATGACGAAGCTGTAGTATATACATTTACGATAGCAAATAAGTATTGCCACACATTGAAATTCAAATTTGAGTCAGCAGACTATGCAATTTTAGTTATCACGAAATATACTTATCACGCAATATTTTATGCATTTTTAGAAGATTTCAGAAACGAAATAGCATCAACAGAAGAAGATAAATTAAATCCGACTCAACTCTACTATCAAATCATTAACTGTCTAAACGAATGGAAATTTATTGACCCAACCACTCTTCATGTTAAGTTTTTCCTGCGTGAATTCGATCAAAATACAGAATTTTCATTAGAAAACCTCCTTAACTTTAATCCATTCTCTTATTTACCACCAGATATTGATTATACCTTATTATGGGCTTCGTTAATTGCCCATAAACGTGTTTACATATACAGTGAGAATCCATGTTTGGTTTCTCGTGCCACTTTATCCATGACTTCATTCATGGCTCCAATTCCTTACTATGGCCGAACTTTAATATCATTAAATCCCTATGACAAACGTCCTTCTACAGAAGATTATGAGCTTATTGGTACAACCGACATGAATCAGTGCAATCTTCCTGACAGAAAAGGAGTTATTTTGGAAGTTCTGAGAGAAAGGTCAATTCTAGACATCAAAGATGAGTTTGATAAATGGAAGGAACGTTCCAAGATATTCTACAAGGTCTGTATTCATATTATTCGTTGTCGAGTTATGGATGACCCGTTTTTCGTCATGATAGAAGCAAATCCATATGAAGGATCAATCGAGAAATTCGTTAAACCTAGTACGAGAAAGAAAATTCCACCCCTTTGGTGTCTTTCGGATTTCGGATCTTCTCAAACATGCAAAGCCATCATTTCTGACGAGTCCTACTTCCTGGAATTCAGAGAGTCAATCATAAACATGAACATGGACCACTTTTACGGTGAAAAAACAAAAGATGAACTACAAAAGTACTTGAAAACGTTCGACCACGCCATTGAACTGTTCAAAACTGACGAACACTTCATAAATGTAATGAAATCTCACAAAAATTTCATTCATAAGTGTATGAAAAAAATTGAAAACGGAAACAACGAAAATCCTAAGAAGAAACAACTGAACAATGAAGATGAAATATGATTCTAATCAAAATTCATCTTGTTTTCTTTCGAAAAAAATATAATTTTTAATTTCGACCAAAAAATGTTTCATTGTTCATAATTCCTTATCTGTTTGATTGTATTCGTATCAATTAATGTATATTAATTATTTTATTATTTTATATTTTTTATTTTGTTTAGTAATGATAGATGTATTTTTAAAATATTATCATCGTTTAAAGAATTAGTATTATTTTCATTGTCTATTTTTTTAAATTAAAAAATTATAATTAGTATTATTATTTTCATTTATAATTTAATTTGAATAATGAAACATCATGTCATTAAGCATAGAAATATAAATACAGTTTTATTATAAACATATATAAAAAGACAAAAAAAAAATAATAATTAATGTTGAATGTTACTTCATGTTCTCATCAACGGTACAATATATTGATACGTTGTTGATAACAATTTCTCTTTCTGCTCTTTGAGAAGGTAAAATTGCTTTGTAAACAACTTTACCGCCAAAACAATCATAAATTGGAATCTTAAATGTTCTACCAGTGATTTCATCTTTGTTTACAACTCGAAGTGAAAGTTTTGGAATTTTTGTCAGAACAGCATCTGAATTTATGAGTTCATTCATTTCTAGAGTTCCATTCATGATGTATAAGTTCTCTAAGAACTTTGATCCAGGAAGATTATCTTGAGTTGAGAAAATAATATCAAGGGAATCTAAATTCTGCCTTTTGCTAATAGAAGCATCCATTACAATTGATAATAAATATGAATTCATATCTAAAATCAATCCTGCATCTAAGATCTCAAAATCATTTGCAAATCCTCTTTCAATTTGCTTCTTTATATCATTGAGCTGTCTTGCAAAGTGCCTAATTCGTGAATTATACTTGTTCTGATGCCAAATTTCTGGTGTTATTTCCTTAAATATTTCATTTTCATAATTTGAAGCAGTTTTATGGATTAAATCAATGAATTCATTAAATTTCTTTGCTTCTGATAACCAAAAGTTCTTAAATATTTCTGATTCTACCAAATTTTCTTTGATATCAATTTTCGTTGGAAGAATTTCGAAAAATTGATTTATGTTTTTGATATTTCTTTCATCATCTTCTTTTGTTAACTCATTGTATTTAATGAATGGTTTTGAGACATAATGGCTGAGTCTTGTTTGCAGAATTACAGAAGTTTTTTCAGTTTTCATTCCCGAAATTGTTAAACTTGGCAAAATCGGGAATTTCGACAAAGTGTTTTGCAGCATTGTATGGATTGAAGAGTCCTTAGGAATTGTCCAGAACTGTGCATCCATTGCTTGAGGATCAACGAAAGTGAATGTATCATCGAAACTCTCCAAACTCAACATCATTCCGAGAAGAGAAGAAATTCTTTGTCTTGAGAAATCTTTTTCACTTTTTGAAGAGAAAATTACTTCATCAAACAAATCTCTGATATTTCGCATTGGAATTTCATTTGTAGAGAACAGATGATATATCATCTGGAAGACAGTCTTTACGTCTCCAATGTTGCAATTAGTATCACAAATCTCGAAAGGTCGAGTGAAATTCAAAACGTCAATTTGAGCAAAAATTATGCATATGATAAACAAAATTCTTCTGATGTTTCTTGATTCTTCGATGCCTTCAAATAAGGTACTGATTCTCTCAATGATATTGCTGACACTGAATCTAGGAGAAGGAAGATCTTGGTACATGATTTTCCTTGATTTTGATAAGATAACAGGTGGCAAAGAAATTGAATCAGAAACGATAAAAATCGGTTTAAATTGAGAGTGACATTTTCCATCCAAATGTTTTAATATGCATTTGTAGACGAATAATGTTATCTCAGGTGATTCTGATGAATAGGAAATGAACAATGTCTTCTGTGTTTGGGAAACTTCTTCATAAAATTTTTCTGATTTTTCCAAATTTGTCAAATTCAAAGAAATGAAACTAAATTGGTCAGATAAACCTCTTGCCAACGCATAATCTACAGCATTATTTATCATGTCATATTTCTTGTTAGTTGTGAAAATAATCGTTGGAAGTTTATTCATCTGATTCAATACTAAATCAGTTGAATAGTTTACAATGTACGTTAAATAATCCACGCCGATAACATCCGACACATAAGATTCAATTAACTTGAAAACGGTTTCTACAGGACCGTATTTCAAGTTCTCAATAGCATGTGATGCAGAATAATCAATCTGTAAATTTCCAATTTTGTCATGTAAAATTTCAGACATGTGATCTAAAATTGCTTCATAATCATTTGAATTTCCATGTTTCAACAAGAAACTGCTTGTAAACAAGAAGAAATAGAAATCAGGACAACTCAATGAAGATGAAACCCATCTTATTACACTGTTGATTACTTTCTTCTTTGCTTCTTGAATTGTTTTGGCGGCAGAGACACTTTTTTCCAAAGTTGAATCCAACAATTTTATGAAATAATCGAAATTGAAACAATAATTTTTGCTCAATAAAGAAACTTTTCGACTTAAAACAATCCACATCTTTTCAGCTGCTTCTAATACTGGTCCAAATGATTGTTGCATTTGTGAATATTCTTTTTGTACTAAGCCAAAGTTTGGAGTGTTTGTCATCGTTTGAATCAAATAATCTTTTGCTGCAAACATTTTTGTCAAATTTTCTTTATCTGCACTTAAATCGTATCTCGATGTTTGGTTGAGATTATCTTGGAAATAGGCCAATGTATCGATTAATTCATCCATGAATCTGTCAATATCATCATTCAATGACTTTTCTGCTGATTGGTTATGTATCAATTTTGGAATTATATCTGAATCAAATTTTGACAAAATTACTTTAGAAACATTATTCTTCACAGAATCCAATGTACTTTCACTGCAATCTATTAACAAGCATTCTTTTGTGAGCTTCTTGTCAATCTCTTTAGGATTTCTACATGATGAAACTAATATTAATTTGTTTGTTGACAAAATTAATTTTTCAATTTTTGAATCAAAACTTGAAATTTCTAAAACAATCAAAAATTTGCTTTCTTTGATTTTTTCATCGAAATCTGGATCATAAACAGAAACAACAGTTGCTTTCTTAGCTTTAGCAATTGCATCTATTGCCAAATGATCAGGATCAATAACTAAAGGAGTAATAGGAGATTTCAAAATGTGAGAAATATCAATTCTCAAAGAACTTGGAATAAAATCTTCGAAACTTATATCTTCTGGATATAAAAACGCATCTTCAATACAATCCAATTGTTGGGAATAACTTGATTCATAGTTCTTTGCTGTTATTGCATCCATAACTGCATCTAAAATGTCTCCTTTTGATGAACGTGAAGTGATCAGACCGCCGTAAATTAAATAGAAAGAATAAAGTAATTCATCACAAGGAATTGTTGTTGATCTTTTCTGGTATATTTCGTATTTATCATCCCATTTCATTTTGAGGATTGATATGTCTTTAGTTATTTGTTCAATGATTCTTCTTTTTTCTTCTTCTTTCGCGAGTTGTTTCTTTATGTGTTGTATTCCATTTGCAACGTTTTGAACCATTTCTGCTGTGACATCAACTCCGTTTTGTTCATCTTTCAACATTCTTTGTTCTTTTTGGGCCAAAATGTTGAAATTTTCCGCACTTTTCTGTCTGTATCTCAAAGTTTTTTGGATTTCTTGTTTTTTGATACTTGATTCTGTTATTTTCATCGCATTTGTTAGGAATTTAAACACAGCTTGTAATTGTCCATTTAATGTCTTATCCATCAATGGATTTTCTTTGATTTTCAATGAAAATAACTGGAATTGATTTAAGTTCAAATCTTCGTAATTCAAACTATTCATTTTTTCGATGAAATCATCTTCAATTGCTCTAACTCCCAACAAACTAAAGACTGTTTCGATGATAACTCTTACATTAGGATCAGAAGAGATACAAGATTCTCTTAATTTTGGTAAATCTTCTTTTTTAAGATCCAAAACTGCTTTGAAATTGTTTTTGTTGAATTCTGCTTCTTCTAACAAATCAACTTGTTCTAAAATCTTCAAGTTCTTATTCTTCAATGTTTCTCCGAGTTGTCCTTTCTTAATAGAAATGTTTTCATTTGATTCTTCAATGATTTTCTTCATTTCTATAAGTTGTTGCTCGAATTGCGATTTTTGGATCTTTAGATCTTCAATGTAATCAGAACTTTTCTTGTAAACACTGTTGATTGTATCCAAGAATTCATTTGCTTTCTGGATTCTGTCGATTTGTCTTTCGTTTTCTTTCGTTTCATAATCAACTTTTTGTGAAAAGATTTTAATTAATTCCTTTTCCAAAGTTGAATTATTATATGGAATTATATCTGTAATCGATTCCATGATTGTAGAAATAATATTTCCTAAGATCTTCAAAGGTCCTTGCAAATATTGGTTGCAAAACATTTTCAGTGTTGGAGGTTGTGTCAAAATTTTATCATAATGGCAATCATTCATGAAACCAAATATTTCATTTGTTATTATGATTAATCTTGTGTTCTTGGAGAGATCGGTTTTGATTTCATTTATTGATTTCATTCGTAAATCAATGGTTAAATTTTCTTCATTTGCCATTTTTTGACACATTTTTTCAATTTCAATTTCATTGAAAATTATTGGGAAATCGTAATAAATGAAAACACTTGTTAACAAATCATATAACTCTTCTTCGTTTTCATGGATACTTGCAACAATGTAATGTAACTGTTCGTTGAAAACACTTCTGTTGCAAATTTCTTTCAACTGTTTTTTGACATCACTTTTGTCAAAAATGAAGTCAACCAAAGTTGTTTTTATTGGAAGCATCATTTTAACGAAAGCAAGCGTTTCTCTACTGTCATCTGCCTTGACAATTATTGGTTTGCCAATTTTCTTTAGAGAGTGAGAAATCATGGCATAATTTGACGATGATTTTTCATTCAATTCTATTTGACACTTTTCTTTCAATAATAAATCAATTGTTATTGTATCCAATTGTTTGACATCCATCTTTGTGTTATCAATGGAATAGTCGTAATGAGCAGGATCAATCTGTATTTGTTGATAAGCTCTTGCTAATTCGTATTCATCAAATAAAATTTCTGTTTTGTCGAAGAAAGAAGAATAAACATCTTCAACAAAACAAAATTGTTCAATGAAAAGCATTGAAAAGAACATCTTGCAGTATTCGAACTTAGTTTGATTCGTCTTTCCTGATCTTTCCGGTATATTGCAAAGAGGAATCAAAATACTCTGCATTTTTGTTAATGACAAATTCAAATTTTGTAAAATTCGACTTGTAAACAAAGCCAAATTTGAATTTACTCCACTGTTCAAAAGTTGTTTCTTGCAAATAACATTCTTTGTCATTGTTGATGGTTCATCTATTCTTATTAATACGAAATTAGACAAGAATCTTGGTGAAGATTGCGAAAAATCTCTTGAACAAATTACGTAATTGAATTTTGACAAATGATACTTTGGGAAATATTTCTGAGAAATTTTTGCAAAATCCAACATTTCTTTGTTTTCAAGCATCATTCTAAGTAATTCAACAATTTGGTAGTTTTCTTTCTCAACATTTTCGAACACTAAAACAATTTGATATTTGTTAGTTTGTTCGAGTTTTTTGTGTTTTGAAACTAAATTTGTCATTTTTACAAAGAAAGTCAATAAATCATTTGTTGTTGTGAATTTAGAGATGTTCACAAACACGGGATCAATCTGATGACTGTCTTTAAGAACTGCTCTCATCAAAGAAGTTTTTCCACTTGAAATAGGACCAGATAAAATGACATTTTGTTTGTTTTCAATCATTGTTTTGATCAAATTATATTGTCTCAAGTTTTGTGGAGTGTAAACGATGTAATCTTCTGGGAAATAGAATTGATTTGAGAATTTTTTGAAAGGAGTTTTTGAAATCGATTCGAAATTAATTGGAATAATTTTTGACTTGTAATATCTCATTAAAGATAAAGTTGGTTTTGGATAATAATCCCATAATTCATCAGGAATTTGGAGACCACTCCAATCAGAAGGTAAAGTTATTCCGAATTCATTTGTTATTTGTTTTTCAAATTCATTAAAAATATTTGGTTCGAAATAAGACAACAAAACAGAAACAGACGAAATAACTAAAGAAATTCTTATATCATTTGTATTACTTACATTAATTTGATTCAATTTCATTGACAACAAAGTAAAATTAATGATATCATTTGCAATTTTTCCAATGTTTTCTGTTAAAGAAATCAAAGATTTGAAATTAGAACTGATTTCAATTATTTTTGGAAGATTTTCCGAAATTGTTTTCTTAATCATTTCTTTTTCAAATCCATTGTAATTAGAATCCATTAAAATCATGTTCAAAGGTATCTCCGGGTACTTCAAAGTTGCAGACAAATTGTTAGAAATGTAGTTATTTTCTAACTGCAAACTATCCAAAGATAAAATTCCAACTCTCGACAACAAACTTGGAGTTATATTTGAAAGATTATTTGTTTCAACGAAAATGTGGAATTCATCACCAATTGGCATCGAATTTCCATAACTAAATAAAAGCAAATTCGGTTTAATCAGTGATTGATCAATTAAATTCACAAAGTTATTTGTTAATTCTCCATCTAAAACTAATATTTTGTGAGTTTGTTGTTGTTTTTGAGAAAATAAATGATTGATTGCACTTTCAATGACTCCGTAATGCCAATGATTTTGCGCATAATATCCACTGATTTTCTCCCATGATGAACTTCCAATGAAAACTTTTTCTTTTTGTATTTGTTCAATGGATTTTAATTTTGGCAATTTTTCCAAATTAATTAATTTTTGGTTGATAAAACTCAAAGAATCAACTATCATTGTCTTTCCTGAATTGGAAGGTCCACTTATTATGATAACGCTCTTTTCCTCCATCATTTGGTACAATTCCCAAACTTTTGCTGCGAAATAATCAACAAAAACAGGAGAATTATATTTCTCGAAATATTCTCTTGCAAATTTGATGACACAACTTTTTGCGTAATCTATCTTAAACACCTTGGATTGGATCAACTTCTCGTAAAATACATTTTCTTCCCATTCGATATTTAACGAAGAATGAATTAGTTTCAATAACAAATTCTTTTGATTTTCGTTTATATCGAAATTCATGAAATAATAAAAAGTTGATCTAGAAAGTGAATATTCTTCAAACATCCTGTAATCATCTGTTTGTGTAAAGAAAGGTTGTGTTATATCATATTTAATCTCTTGTATTATCTCATAAGCTTGTTGTATCACGTTTTCTGCTGCTGTGTACATAGATGTCAAAGGAATAATTAATTTGGAAATAGAGTTAAACAAAGAAGACATTTTCATGGAAGAAGTTGGTGCTGATCTGTATCCTAAAGAAAACAGTTTGATTCTTATGAAATCAGAGAGATCAGGAGGAATATAAGCTGTCTTTCTTGAGAATGATAAAAGTTGTGGAGGAATTCTTCCATTTGATAAAGATTCTGTTGAAATTGACAAGAAAACAAACAAATTTTGATTGATTTTGATTTTTTCTTCTCCGATTTCAACTTCATTTTTACTTCCATCGATTGACATTGCGATGTTTTGAGTGATATCAGAAATAAAACTCAAATTTTCATGTGATAATTGTTCAGCATTCACAAAATTCACCCAAAATCCATTGTTTATGACTCCTTTCATTATTTTTTCCATGAAAACATTTTGTCTGTTGTAAAAAGCAGGAATATTAAATATAAATGATCCGTATAACATTGCCAAAGTATTCAATGATTTTGTATCATCTAAGAATCTTTCATTGTAGATAATTGATGGTCTCAAAAGTTTCCTCGTGAAATAGAAATTGTGCATGAATTTGTCGAAACTCAAATTTGAATCTAAATCAGAAATATCTCCCCAAAATTCTAAACCATGTTCCCATTGATCTCCCATGAAACTCAAACATAATTTGTTGTGATCATTGATGTAGAACTTTAGTTCATCTCTCCACTTCTCGTTCTGTGAATAACTCGTTGATTTTTCTGTGATATTTTGTAGTTTTTCCAAGAAATTATTCAACAACATAATTAAACTTGAAACTTTTCTCATTTCATTCGTATTCATTGAATTGTTGTAAGATTTACTCATTTCTTGGATGAAACTATTGATCTTACCTTCAAATGGCCTAAATGACAAAGGATTTGTCTCGTAAATCGTCAAACATTCATCAAAACTTTGTGTAAACCAACATAAAAGTGACAACATACAAACGTACGACGGTTTTGATGCTGACCATTCACTAATGATCAAATTCTTGAAATCATTGTTTGCCGAGAGCACAGAATTCAACAAACTGGAAGACATCATTTCGAACAATTGATTCAACCAGATTTCCATTGATCCTTGGCATTGAATGAAGTTAATCAAAGGCAAAGTATCTCCATCTTCTCCGATGCAACTAAATATTGCCAATGTTGAGAAATTTGACATGTTCAAAGCAAATTCAGCTGATCTTGCTGAAGGTTGATTAGTTTTATAATCTAATCTCTTGATTTTGCACAATAATTTCAATGCAATCGAACAGAAATCATCGAAATTATTTGTAGACAACATAGAAATAATTTCATAATCACTAAGAAGATACAATCTTGGAATTTCTCTTCTTTTTGACTCTGCAATTATTCCTAACTCTGATAAAATTATGTCCAATTTATCATTGATTTGTGTGAATGTTTGTATTATGTTGTTTATCCAACAAATACTTAGCAATCTGGAATTTTCAAGAGCATGGATAGCGATATTCTTGAAATTGTTGAAAACAAACAAATAATTTGTTTGTTGGTCTTTTAGTAAATCAACAAACAATTTATTCTTAAATATTGGTTCAACAATTATCCAGTTTTGTTGGAATTTCGTCCACAAGTTCAAGATATCGATTGATGTTGTTAATCTTTGATGCAAACCCATCAAATCATATCTAATAAAGTCGATGTATTTGTTGGACAAAAATCCATCCAATGTAATCAATGTGTCATTGATATCTTGTATCAATTGTGTTGTCTGACCAATTATAAGTGATGTAGGAGATTTCGGATTGACAGAAACAATTGGCAAAGGAATATCTTCCCATTTGTTTCTGATATTCGCGAAATCTGCTGAAATTGTGCTTTCTCCAATGGAATCTTCTGTAATTGTCTCGATGGATTTCGTGTTCGAAAGAATTCCCATTTGAATTAATTCGTCAACAGTCGAGGTGTTTTTGTACAATCCATCTTTTCCTGATTGAGAAAACAACAATTTCCAATGGTTTTCTTTTAGTTTTGAAACAGCTAATTGATGTATTTGTGTCATATACATCTCGTATTTCTTCTTTTCTTCTTCAATTTCAATCAAAACTGCTGGGGATCTCAGTTGAATTTGATGAATTACGTCTAAAGATTCTGTCAAATCTTCAAAATCTTTTTCAAGTTTAGTAATGTCGACAAAAATAAATGGAGAAAAAGACATCGCGTTTTTGATGGATTCCCAAATTCCCAATATCTTCTGTAAGGCTTCTGAAAAATTGACATTTCCAATAATCTCTTTGTAAAGTGAAAAAGGTGACACATCAACACCCAAAATTGTTTGGTATCTTTGACATTCTTGGATTTTTTCTTTAAGTTCTTCTGAGTGTTTTTTGATTGATTGTGTGACAATGATGTATTCTTTTAAGTTGCTTTCTTTCACGGACTTTGGTGTCTTCCTGGATTCCATAAAGTCCGCATTCAACAAACTTTCGATTTCGTTGACCATTGATGACAAAGTTTGTTGATATCTTCTTGTCGAATAAGTCTTGAGAGTAACTGCTTCTTTGTAAGCTTTCTTGAAGGAATTAAACTCATCATGAATTGTTGTTTCGACAGGAGTAAATCCTGATGATTCCATCATTGCATTTATGTCATCAATGTTTGTTATTTCTTTCGTCATTTTCGGCAATTGTTCTTCAATTTGATTCAAAAGTTCACAAATTTGAGTGAAAATTGCCAATGTTGATGATTCATTTTTCATCAATGTTCTGTATGTTTTGAACAATCTACTCAATAAATCAATCTTCAACTGAACGAAATTTCCAAGCATTTTTCCAATATCTGCTAAAATTGTTTTTGGAATTGGATTTAATTTTCCTCTTAAAGTTAATGAATCAACATAAAAAGTTCCACAAGTTGCACCTCCTCTAATGAATGCAGATCTTGCTTCTTCCGTTCTCAAGAATTTGACGTCGTTCATGATTTCATCCAAATTTATATTTGGTTCATTTTCTGGATGCATCAAAAAATCAGAATCCAATTTTTCAAATGGTCTTTGATAAATATTTAATTCATAATCATAAAGAGAACCATCCAATCTCTTTATGTAGTTCTTAACTGACCATGATTGTCCCATTTTATACAATCTATAATAATCAGTAAATGATTGAGAAATTGTTTTGGCTTCTTCAAAAGAATCTTTCATTACTTTATACATTCTTTCTTTCGTTTCTTGAATAAATGTTGAACTCTCCATGATCTTTTCAAGTGATGTACCATCAACAAACAAATCTTTTGGTTTTTCTACAGTGTATGTCAACAATTTCTTTAATTGTGGGGATTTGTAAATTCTTGGCAAATTTTGTAAATTTTGAATTGCAGAATTAAATTCTTCATCAACAGTTTCAAACAATTTATCAAGGGAAGGTTCGAACTCTATTCCTCCTTCTTCATCATATTTTACGTCTATTTGGAATACTTCTGATTTATCACTCACAACAATATCCGCGTTTTCAGAAAAAGTTTTGAAACAACCTTCTCTCAACAACTCCAAAATCATGTAATCAACCAATCTGACGTATTTAATCAAGTTCCTTATTTCTGTATCCATTTTGTTTAGTTTCAGTTCTTTATCTTCTTTCTTTTTGATTTCAAGCAGCATCATTTGTTGAATGTTTGGATTTACTCTTCGACTTTCATTGTAATCTTCATCTTTAACAACTAGGTTTTGTGGATCACTGATTTGTAAATATATGTGATTAATTGTTTCCGCAATTTGTTCAATCATTTCTTTGTATAAAACTTCAACTTTTGAGATACTTTTTTCATTGAAAATTTCAATGTCTTTCAATTTCATTTTTCTTTGGTGTTTAAAAGGTAACATTATCTCAGCAATTTGGACTTGGTACTTGTAGATGTGGATGGCAAGTTGTGATGTTGTGTATGACATTGATTTATCTTGTAATAATGGATGTTCAATCGATAATGATTTGATCATTTGGTATCTTTGAGTTTGGACAAAGTTTTTCCATAGACGAATGTTCTTCCAGTACTTGTATAAATTGAAAAATGGTAGTTTTCTGATCGAATTGTAATGAGTTGATTCATTTACCCAAGATTCTATATCTGTATGATAAGTATTTCCAGCAGAATCGATGTATGTGACACCTTCTGGTGACATTGTGTAGTATTCTGAGCCAACTTCTTTGAAAATGACCTTTTTGAGTTCATATGGTGAAAAATCTGGATCATCTCTGGATTTTTCGTGTACCAAGTAGATGAATTTGTGGCCAGAACCATCTTTGTGTTTTGAAAAATATGAAATTGGATCTTCTGAGAAATTTAATTCTCTTCTTTCTTGTTCTTCTTTCTTTTGCTCGATTTGCATAGGTGTTTCTCGTTGTAATGACGATAGTGGTTTTCTATTGAATAATGATAATCGATCTGTATTGTTTTTCTTCTTTAATAAAGTTGGTTGGAAAATGTTTTTCTTTAATCGAGTATTCATTGCAAGTAATTTTGGATTAGAGTCTGTAAATGGTAATTTTGGATCAACAATATTGTACATGTTAGTATCTCTTTCAAGTGAATTTGGATCAAATAAAGAAGGCGAGTGAAGAGGAGAATTTTCCTTTGAAGGACGGTTTCTAGTGATACTATAGCCTTCAGGAATCTCGATTCTCATATCGCCGGGCTTTGACATTTAATCGAAATTCACCAAAGATTTCACGAAAAAACGTAAAATCTTCGTCACTTTTTTATTGATTTTTATGGAAAATAAAAAACGGGAATTTCAATTTATTCTAAGCAACTGTATCACGTCAATAGATTTCTAAAAGGCTCCTTATTAGATAAGTTGAGTAAAGTTTGTCATTAGATATCACTATTAATACAAAAAGAAGCATCGTAAAAATAATGAATTTTTTTAAGGTTGCGCTTACGCCCCTATGACATGGCCTTCAATTCAATTGTTTAAGGTTGTCAAAAATTTGTATAAAAGTCGGATGGGCGTAAGTGCAGCCTTAAATAATAATAAAAATGTATTAGTAAAAGAAATGACTTTTATGATAAGGATTAAAAATATTCAATCCAATAGACTTTAGGTATTTTCTATAGGCATAAACAAGTGATCCTGCCAGAAGGCATTAGTTTTTCGTACGACATTTTGGTTGGATAGCAGAGTTGTCTGGTTCAGGGTGTGATGGAGGATCTGATATAAAGGGGTCGCGCGAAATATTCTTAGATAGAATTTCAATATAAGGACGAGCTGCCATATAAGACTGCCGAATAGTTTTGAAATTGTTCATAAATAATTTGTGACTTTTTAAAAATTTTGCCCTAAAATCTTCAAAGGTTGTTTTAAGATCATTAATAGATGATTGAAGTTTATCTAGGGGTATTATTATTGTCGTCTGGCGGTTTTAGACGACAATGCGAATTTTCAAATAATAGGATTTTTAGTATTATGCTCTCCATCAGCTGTCAGGAGGGCAGTCATGCCAGTTTTAAGATCATTAACAGTTGTTTGAAGGGTATTTATTTTAGTAATATCATCATCAGTTGTTTGAAGGGTATTCATTTTAGATATTTCTCTTGTGTTCTATCGTCAAATTAATTACTGTCACCTTTCAAAATTTATCACATGATCTTATATTCTATTAACATTAGAATCAAGTAATAATATCCTTGATCTCTTTTAATATGATCTTAAAAGATGTTGTAAAAACAAAATTTTTACAACGAGTTATCATAAAGTAGTTTCAAAATCTCGTGTCTATATCCTCAGAAAAATTATGAGCAAAGTATTCAATCTTGGACTAGAGATTTTGTGAATATTTATAAAATTGTCAATTTAAACCTAAGTGATCATATCTTCTGTTTGAATTTTATATGAAGATTTCAAAAACAATTATTTTTTGTTTTGAGAGCTTATTGTAATTACGCATGAATTTGTAAACATATTAAAATCATTACGTTTAAAAAGTTTAGCTTTCAGTTTTTGCAAATTTGTTGATTTGTTCTATTTCTACTTTAATAATATGTTTTTAGAAAGGAAGAAAAAGATCAGATGTTAACCGTTTATAAATATTCAATTATTTGAAATATTCAGTTTTTCATTTCATTAAATGTCGAAGCGCTGTACTTATATGTACATCTGCCAGATTTTAGCTGAAGATGATGAGTTATTCGATGCAAATACCCCATTCCCAGATAATTACAATAGCGGAAACATTCAACTAACTTCAACAGTTGAAGATTATATCAAAGCAATCAATGCAGCCCATAAGGATGAATTTCAATTTAGTGAATCTTTTATGCTGAGTAAAAGTTTTGAATACTTGACAACTTCAAGAATTTGTATCATAATTCCAGAAAGTGGCGATATCAACTATAATGAACTAAGTAAAGCATGTCATGCAGTTGTTAAAGCAATTTGTTGTTACAATTCTTTTTCTGAATCAGAAAAAAATGTTTTTTATAACTCTGTTATTCAAGCGAAGTTAAATAAACTACAAAATGAATATGCATTCCGATCATTGAAAGAGCTAAACGATAATCAAGTCGAAGAAATGAAAAGATTAAACGAAGAAAAAGTCAAAGAAATGAAAAAATATACGATGAGCAATTCAAAAATATGAAAGAATCTCTAGGCAATCAACTCATAGCAGCTCAAAAATCAATAGAAGACAATCTTGAAGCCGAATTTACATCATTCAAAGAGGAACTTACCAAATTATTTGGAGTCGAGGACCAAAAATTGAAAAGTGATGTCAAATCATCATACCATCAAATTGAGAAATTTTGAGTTTATTTTAGAATTTCTAATATTCGAAACTATGGAAACTTAATAATTAGATTAAAAAATTGTAATTTGAAATAACTTATATCTTTGGGGAAAAAAATTAATATAAAAAATAAGAATTACTTTGATTGAGATTTAGAAACTTTTTCAAGCCACAACTTTCCAATAATTGTCAAAGCTTTCTTTCTAAATTCGCTGTCACTCAAATCTTCAAACTTTGCGATATCAATAACTGATCAATTTCTGTTTCATATTTGTTCTTTAAATTGATGATTTCTAATTCGGTTTTGTTCTTAAGAGAATTTATTTCATTCTGGTATTTGATGTTCAATGTGTTTAATTCTGTTTTATGAAGAGATTTTTCTTCTTCAAATTTATTTGTCAAATTTTCAATTTTCTTTGAAAATTTTGAATTTGAATTTGAAATTTGTTTTTCATATTCTTCTCTGAGTTTTTCTTTTTCGAAATCAAAACTCAAAACAGAATTATTTTGTTGATCTTTCTTCATTTCTTTCATTTGATTTTCGAAATCAGATTTAATCATTTCTATTTGTTTTTCTTTTTCAGAAATAACAGATAACAAATGTTGTATTTCCGAACTTTTGCAAGTAGTACGATTGAATAAAAGCTAATTGAAATTTAATTCCTCATCTAAGACTAGGAATTTTATAAAGTGATTTGCTGATACACTTTGATGCAATCACATTGTTTTGAATAACAATCAAAATCAAAATCAAAAAAAATTGTAAAGTCAAAATTTCACGTTACATGACAAAGATTTTAAATGATGTGATGTGAAGTCAATATTAAAAATCGGCTTCTGTAGATGACCTTCTATGGAAGAGTTATTATCACAATCACTTTCAGGGTAGCGATGCCAAAAATTGCCGGAACTGTATTCTAACTTCAGGAAAAGGTCAATATTTCTTAGAAGACTGTAGTTTTTTTGATGACAATAATCATGTCATCAATTTTAACCCTATTTCCAACTCATTCTTTCTACATAATAGCTGTTCTTTTTGTAATTGCACTTCAGGAGAAAATGGGAGTTGCATTTTCTACAAAATTGGAAGTAATAGCTCAATTGTTCAGAGACGATTCTGTTGTACAAAATGCCAAAGTAGGAAATATGGACATTTTTTGTATTCAAAAGTTGGCAAAAATAACTTAAACTATATTATAGAAAGTTCCCTTTTTAATGTTGGAAATGAAAGTGTTGGTGGAAGAGTAATTCAAGCAGAAGATGGTCATATATTAGTTTCATCAACAAATTTCTCGTCAAATAAAGTTTTAGAAGATCCTGTTGGATTTTTAGAGATGACAGAAGAAAATGGTATCACGATCTTTAATTATTCAACTGTAGTAAATAACATATGTACAGGTGAATTCGATATCCTATATTTTCAATATAACGCATCAATATATTCGAGTAATTTTATAAATAATAAAAAGCAAAAATCAGCATGGGGAATTATTTATCATGGATGTAATACATTTACTATCAAAAGGTCTTCTTTCATTAACAATACTACTCCAGCAGGTACATATTTGATATATCAACATGCTGGTAGTCATGAAGAATTAATAGTTGATGAATGTTATATTGACAATTCGGCTCCAAGTACATTTAGAAGAAATACAAGCCCTAATAGTCCAAAAGAACTATTTACAAACAAATTGATTCACCTTTCAAATGATAAATGCCAATCAGAATTTGTATTTATCAATAAAAGTCTTCTTAAAAGAAATATACTTTTTCATTATTTCATTTCGTTAGTAAACATTAATAATTCTTCATAATCTCAAGCATCATATTTTTATAGGTTTGATATTTTTACTGACTTATAAAATAAGCCTGAAAAAAGTATCAGAACTTATTCAAATATGTATTCACACTTTTTATCGGCATAAAGCTTCTCAGAAAAAGTGAAACATATTTTGAATATAAGATTAGATTACTAATATGATATTATGTATGAAGAAAAATAAGGAGATTAGCCAAAGTTCTGTCCTTTAAATTTATAATGTGTTTAGAAATAGAACTGCCAAAGAACATACACTCATATTTAAAACTATAGAATCTAACAAATATAAAGAAGTTACGTTTTGTAATTTGAAATAACTTACAAAAATAATTTTATATCTTTGAAAAAAACAAATTAATAAAAATAATATAAAAATAAGAATTACTTTGATTGAGATTTAGAAACTTTTTCAAGCCACAGCTTTCCAATAATTGTCAAAGCTTTCTTTCTAAACTCGCTGTCACTCAAATCTTCAAACTTTGCGATATCAAAAACTTCAATCAAATTTTCATCATTTTCATCAACTTTCGAATTTTGTTCCGAAATAATTTTCTCTAAATCCTTGATTTTCATTTCTTTCTCAGACAAACTCTGTCTCAATGATTCCATCTCCTCCAAACTTGGACTTTGTGTTGCTTCTTCCAATGATTTTCTGTCCATTTCTATTGTCAACCGTTTTATGGCAGATTTTGCCATTTCTTGTGATTCTTTAAATTTCTTTTCCAATTCAGAATACATTTCCTCGTATTTCGATGTGTTCACGAGTTTATCCTTTAGTTCAGAGATTCTTCTTTGCAGTCTTCTTTCATTTGCTCTAAACACATCAGCTTGATTCTCCAAAATCTCAATTCTTCGTTTAAGATCATCATTGTTTTCTCTTGATTTCTCGAGATCAGTTATTCTGTTCATTGATTCAGTCAATTTCTGGTTTTGTTGTATTGACAACTGTGTTATTTCTTTCAATCTTTGTGTCTTTGATTCCAATTCTTGCTGCAAAACATTTATTCGATGTTTGTCTGAAGAACTAAACAATTTCAACTGTTTCTCGCATTCATCAAGTTTGGAATTCGATTCCTCTATTTGGCTCTTGTATTTAGAAATCTCTTCATATGAATTTGAAATGTTTTTCTCGTAATCTTCGATTTTTGATTTCATTATCTGGAAAATTTTCTCGTATTCTTCAATTTTGGATTTGTAGTTATTAATGATCAACTCATACTTGTTGTTTGACTCTAAAAGTTGGGATTTCATTGTCAAATTAAATTCGGATTTTTGATTTTCGAAATTTTTCTCTGTTTCTGATAATTTGTTACGAGATTCTGTTAGTTCTTTCTCGTATTCCTGTAATTTTCTCTTTAATTCTTCAATTTCCTTTTCTTTCTCTGAAATTTTTTCCGAAATTTTTTGAGAATTTTGAGAAAATTTTTGAGATTTTTCATTTTCTTGGTTCAAAGAAACAGATAAGTTATGGATTGTTGCATTCATTGAGTTGTTTTGTGATGACAATTGGTTTATTGTCATATTCAAGGTGTTGTTTTGATGAGATAATTCATAAATAATAGAATTCTTTTCTTCAATTGATTTCTTGAGCGAAACAATCTGGTTCTTGTATTTATACATCAGTTTCAGAATGAAAACGATTCTTTCTCTCAAACCGTTTCGAGATTTCGAAATTTCTGACTTAATTTCCAAAATATTTTGGGAAACTTCTGATTTTATCTGCGAAATCTGTCTTCTAAGAGATAAAATTGTATCAGAAATTGAAATTTTTTCATTATTTTTGAGTAATTTCTTCAAATTTTCAACATTTTGGGATAAAACAGGTAAATTCATTTGTATTAATCTTTCATTCACTCTATTAACGAAGTTTGTGAACTTATCCAACAAATTTTCTGATTTTTGTTGGAAATCTTTTTTAATTTTTTCTTCATTTTGTTTGTAAATCAAAATTAATTGATTTAATTTAGTTTCTCTTTCTGAATTACTCATATCCAACTCTTTCTTCATGTTTTTCAACAATGTTTTTAGATTTGTATTTTCATTATCCAACTGATCAATTTCTGTTTCATATTTGTTCTTTAAATTGATGATTTCTAATTCGGTTTTGTTCTTAAGAGAATTTATTTCATTCTGGTATTTGATGTTCAATGTGTTTAATTCTGTTTTATGAAGAGATTTTTCTTCTTCAAATTTATTTGTCAAATTTTCAATTTTCTTTGAAAATTTTGAATTTGAATTTGAAATTTGTTTTTCATATTCTTCTCTGAGTTTTTCTTTTTCGAAATCAAAACTCAAAACAGAATTATTTTGTTGATCTTTCTTCATTTCTTTCATTTGATTTTCGAAATCAGATTTAATCATTTCTATTTGTTTTTCTTTTTCAGAAATAACAGATAACAAATGTTGTATTTCCAAACTATTTTCATTGTTGTTATTTGTATTTTCTCCATTTATTATTATGATGTCTTTTTCATAATCTTTTCCAATTTGTTTTTTAAGTTCTTCGTTTTCTGATATCAATGATTTGATTTGTATCTCTAATCTCCTGATCTTTACTTGGCATTCTTCTGCATCAACAACTGCTGCATCGCGTTGAGGTGTCAAAATTTTGACGGTTTCATTCAAAATTTGAGTTTCTTCTTTTTGTTGAGCTAATAAATTTTCCAATTTTTTCTTTTCAGATTTTTCTGTTTTAATTGCTGTTTCTAATTCATGTATTCTTGTAGAGATCTGTGATTTGGAAGAGTTGTAATCTTCATATTGTTGTTTCAAATCGTAAATCAAAGATTTTTGTGTCTCTATTGTAGAAGTCATTGAAACAATTGTTGTTCTTTGGGAATCAATTACAGACAACAAGTTCTGATGATCTCCTGATCTAAATGAGTTTCTTATTACTAATAACTCTTGTTGGAAATCAGTACATTTCGATTCTATTGATTCTTTTTCGTTTTGCAGCTCATTTATCTTTTTATTCAATCGTTTTTGTTCTGTTTCATTGAAATTTTGTTGTCTTTCTAGTTGGGAAATTTTGAATTTCAAGTTTTTGTTTTCTTCTTGAATTTGGATATTGAATTTCCTCATCTCGGAAAGTTCATCGAGTTTGGAGTCCAGCAATGCTTTGTTGCTGCTCTCAAATAGTTCTATTTCACTCCTGACTTTGTTCACTTCTTCTTTCAATTCAGAACATTTTTTCAAAATTTCTGAATTTTGAGAACTTTTTATTTTTGACATTTCTTGGAGATTTTGGTTTTCCAACTGCATTTGTTTCTTTTTGAGGTCTGATATTTCTTTCTGTGAGTTTATTGTGATTGTGTCTATTTGTGATTCCAATTTCTGGATTAGATTCTGTTTCTTTTCCAATTCTGATGAAAAAGTGTTTTGAATTGACTGAATTCTCTTTGATTCTTCATCTGTGTTGTATTTTATTTGGTTCTGTAAGTCTTCACATCGTTTTTCTGCTTCTTGTCTCTTACTTTTTTCTATAATAAACTTTCGATATAAATTGGAATCTGTTTCTTCTTCATTTTCTTTATTAATATCTTCTTTCGTTTCTTCTTCTTTCACTTCACTTTTTGGATTCAAATTTATTGGTTTTATTTCACTTTTTGTATTAAGAATTTCTTGTTTTTCTTCAGTTTTTGGATTCAAATTTTCTTGATTTGGTTTAATTTCTTTGATTTCTTCTGGTTCTTCTTGTAATTTTTCGTTTGGATCAATAATTTTTTGTTCTTCTTCTATTTTTGGTGAATCTCCAACAAAGTTAAAAGAAATTTGTATTAAATAATGAGCGATTTCATTATCTTTGAATTCATTTTCAACAGTTGTTCTTAGTTGAACAATTTTTGATATCAATGATTCCTTTGATATCAAAGAAACAACATTTGGAATGTAATTATCAGAAAACTGCATCAAAGAAGCCAAAATCATGTAAGAAGAGAACAGGGATAATGAATTCATCGAAATATTCTCTGCTGCACAAACAATTTCCAAGTATTTGTAAGTATTTCCGATTTTTGTTGAATCATCGAAGAAATTGTAACAAGCAGAGTTGCATTCCCAACATTCCACAGCTAGGAACACTAATATTGTTGACATATTTGGTCCTTCCAGCATCTGCAGAATTTTATTTAAAAATGATTCTCCTTTTTCGTCTTTTTTGGAAAAAACTAACCTGCAATCATTATCATAAATGTCTAAAACTTCACAAATCCTCAAAATATTTGATAAATTATCGTCATTGATTTTTGAAAAATTTTCTGAAATGAGTTTACAAATGTCACTTTTTCCATCAAAATCTTGAACAAATTTTAAGTGTTCGTCTGCAAGATTATCGAACATTTTTTGTACTATTTCCAATAGTGTCCCTTTCTCTGTAACTTTGTCGGTGAGTTCTTTAGAATTATGCGTTGCAAGAGATAAAATTTCCAAAAACCTTAAATCATCGATAGAAACTTCGAGCAGAGCTGCAAAGAAAGTTGTAGATAAGAGATTTTTCTGGTGCTTTGGAAAACTTTCGTCTTGGAAAAGAGATCTGAGAAATGAAAGTGAAGAAGAGGTTTTAGACCTCACATAAGGAGCCACAGCATCGATGTAGCCACTTGAGTAGAACATTGTTTGTGAAATTGAGTTATTCCGTAGAATAGCGATCAATGCTGAAAATGTTTTGTCATTTCCTTGTCTGAGTAACGAAACGAGTGAATCTAAGATGTTAAATGCAACTATCTGTTGGAAATTCGGGTTATTTTCTATAGAAACGCAAACGAAATCGAGAAATTCTTGGAGAATTATTTTATTTTTATCGTGAATCAGAGATAATAAGCTAGGAAGATGATCTTCTGTAGATATCAAAACGCTCTGAAGTAGTTCTAGCTGATGCATTGCAAGCTGAGACAGAATTCTTAAAACTAAAATTCGATTTTGTGGAGAAGTTGAATTTGTGTATTGGAGAAGTATAGTAATCGAATTCTTTTGTTCAAGAACATTGAGGCAATTTGATGGAGCTGATTCTCCATTCAAAATGTCAAGAATAATTGTTAATATTTGCGTTGTGAATTGTTTGTATTTATCACTGTCTTGCAACATTTGAAATAATATTGGCAAAGCTTGGTTGGCTATTAAACTTGAAAATTTCTTTGAAACTGAAGCTAAATCAGTTAAACAAGTACTAATGTCCTTATCCTGACTCAAATCCTGAACTATCTCCTTGATATTTGTTTCGCTTATTTCCCGAGGGTGGTCGGTAAAAAGCGTTTCAAGGAGACTCATTCAAAATTTATTTTATTTGTCACGTTTTTTATGCATCGAAATTTAGGGAAATTTTTTCATGTATCTGCATATAGTACTTAGGAGCGCTTTTGAGGGAAGATAATGAAATTCATTGTAATTTATCCCTAATTATTAGTACCTACAAAGTTACAAGCAATAGCTCCGAAAGTGAGTACCAGATTGTCGATAATCTTTGTACACAAATTCAGATTACAATAAAATAGACACACTCATATGCATTTAATATGTGTGTAAGGCTGTTGTCCTCCATATCTTTGAATAAACTGCTATTTTGAATCTCATTTTATTTCATATTTCATATTTTAAAACTCAAAATAGGAAGAAAAGCTTTATATCATTAATATGATACATATTAAATATTTAATTTGGATGTCAAGAATGGTGCCAAATTTTTTCTCATTTGATGGTGCTACATTTCATATCAATTATTTGTCCAGAACTTTTTTTTACTTTTAGAGCCACTTCTTCAATTGGTTATATGTTCATCTTTTTGCTTTCAGTATTCATTGAGTCAGAGTCATGAAAAAAAAATGTTAATTTTTGTAGTCCTTCTGGAGAAGAAACATTCATATCTAATAAAAAGTACTGCCAAAATAAAGGGTTTTTAGTTAAATTTTAATTATGACAAGTGATCCTGCCAAAAGGCATTAGTTTCTTGATTGATCATTGGGATGGACAGCAGAGTTGTCTTGTTCAGACTGTGGTGGGGGATCTAATTTAGGTTTGTAAAGTGATAGCCTGTGTTGTATTCTATCACTAAGATCATAGCCTATCCTATACGAATCTTCAATAGCTTTGAAATATTTAATAAATAATGCCCTAAAATCTTCAACAGTTGTTTGAAGGGTATCCATTTTAGTTTTAAGCTCATCATCATTTTTTTGAAGGGTATCCATTTTAGTTTTGAGCTCATCATCATTTTTTTGAAGGGTATCCATTTTAGTTTTAAGTTTGTCAACAGTTGATTGAAGGGCATTCATGCCAGTTTTACGATCACAAATGGTTTCTTGAATGTCTGTAACATTATTGTTATTGGTTTTGAAATTTTCAGACAAATCATTTAATTTTGTTAACACAGAATCATACTTTGTCCTGAGAACTTTATTTGAGGTATAAAGTTCTTTAAGAGCTGGAAAAGTATTTCTTTTAAGGGAGTGCATTAATTTTTGTTCTTTAAGTTGTAATTCAAGCTGATCGGATAATTCAGACGCAAGTTTGGCAGAGTCACATACAGCTTGAAACAGAGTAGTGTTAGGCGCTTGAGGCACGGAAGCCATAAAAATTAGGGAAAAAATATTGTGAAATATATTTAATCGGTTTTTAAAAAGGAGTTTTTAAAAAATTGGAATGATTCATGTAACGAATTTTTTAAGTTTAATCATGAAAATTTGAAATTTTCCTGAATTCTTCTATCGTCAAATTAATTACTGTCACCTTTCAAAATTTATTACATGATCTTATATTCTTTTAACATTGGAATCAAGTAATAGCATCCTTGATCTCTTTAAATATGATCTTAAAAGATGTTGTAACAACAAAATTTAGAGAACGAGTTAGAGTAAAGTATTCAATTTTGGACCAAAGATTTTGTGAATAGAATAAAATTATCATCATTCTTACACTTTTTGATTGCAATTCAAAAGTGCAAGAACTTTGGTTTCAACGATCTAACATTAATGCTACAGACTATCTTAACACCTCTGTTCTTTATAAGGCAAATAAAAAAGTGAACAGAGGAGTTGAATTCAAGAAATAAACAATGAATTTCTCACTATACTGCAAGGAACAATTGTAAAGAATCAATGTAACTTATTGTATCTAAAGATTGTGTGAATCTCAATTCAATAAATATTAATGGAAGAACAGCACTTCATGCGGCAACATAACATCTCTATTGAGATATTGCAGACTTATTAATCACCCATGATGCTGAAGAGAATATTAAAGATAATTCTGCATATAATTCTTCTCATTATTCCTGTAATTTATTTAATGCATCTACAATTGAACGTCATATTTCACATGATGCTGATGTTAATGCAAAAGAGAATGAAGGAAAGTCATGTTATAAAAGAAACTCAGCGATTATTTTTCCGATAGAAATTATCATTTTGTGAATAGAATAAAATTATCATCATTCTTACACTTTTTGATTGCAATTCAAAAGTGCAAGAACTTTGGTTTCAACGATCTAACATTAATGCTACAGACTATCTTAACACCTCTGTTCTTTATAAGGCAAATAAAAAAGTGAACAGAGGAGTTGAATTCAAGAAATAGGGTATTTCTCACTATGCATAGGGTAAAGAATTAATGTATCTTATTGTATCTAAAGATTGTGTTTGAAGATATTTTCTGTTAATTTATTCCTAAGTGATAATATCTTCTGTTTGAAGATATAATTGTTTTTTATTGCTATAAATAAGATTCAGAAGATTTCTAAAGCAAATGTTTACTTTTTTTAAGGCAAGCCCTGGCCAAATTGCGAATAATTTTTTAAACTATTTTTTAGATTTACCTCTCTTTTTTGCCCCATTTTCTATGAGGATATCAGCCATTTTAGGTCTCTTGAATTTTCTGGAACAAAACAGAGGTGTTTTTCCATAATCATTTTTAGCTTTGATGTCAGCACCGTGAGCAATAAGACATTTTGCAACTTTTGTGCTATTATTCATTGTAGCCAAATGAAGTGGAGTTAAGCCTTCGCTATCCTTTGCATTGACATTTGCGCCCAGAGAAATGAGAAATTCTGCCATGGCTTTCTTGTTATTAATAGCTGCCCAATGAAGACATGTTTTGCCATCCCTATCTTTCGAATTGATATCTACTCCATGTGATATCAACAGGCGAATCATTTTCTTGCAACCATTTGTGGCCGCAATATGAAGCGGAGTAGATCCTTCATCATCATCAGTTGCATTAACATTAGCGCCATGTTCAATAAGAAACTTTACTAAATCTAAATTTTTGTCATCTCTAGCAATTTCGTGAAGAGGTGTGTTATTGAAAAAATTCTTTCTATTCACATCAGCTCCGAGTAAAATCAGCTTTTTTATCATATCATTGTTTTCATTCATGATGGCTACATGAAGAGGAGAATTCTCCATTTTCATCCAATACATTAACATCTGCACCATGTGAAATTAAAAAATCTACTAACACATCATTGCCAATTCTTGCAGCAATATGGAGAGGAGCTTCGTGACCTATCTGATTCATGTCAGCACCATGATCAACCAGAATTTTAATAATTTCTAAATTCTCTTTACTTGCTGCAGCTGAAAGAGTAGTCTTATATTTACTTTTTATATTAGCATCAGCACCTTGTGAAAGAAGATATTCAACAATTTCTTTATTATCTCCTTCAACAGCTTTTATTAGAGCTGTAGAATCATCAGATCTACATATTTCGTTAACATCAGCGCCAAGTGAAATAAGAAAATTTGCCATTTCTAAATCATTCTTTTTAATTGCTGTTTGAAGAGGAGTCTGATAGAATTTATATGTATTTGGCTTTGGAAGATTCTTTTGAAGTAATTCGACCAATTCCTTATAATTATTTTTCACTGTTTTATTTAAAGGAGTCAAAGAGTACCTAGAAGGAATTGTAATACTTGCACCATGAGAAATAAGCATAATTGCTATTTCCAAGCAATTGCTTTTAATTGCATGATAAAGAGCTGTTCTCTTTTTACCATCCTGTGCATTAACATCGATTTCCGTATTTTCCAACAAATATTTGCAATATTCAATATTTTTGTACTCAGCTGCATAATGTAATAAATTCTTTGTTGTGTATATTTCAGTAGTATTAAAATCAAGCTTTTCTGTTTTGAGGATTTCAAGAGTTTGTGGAAATGCTGCGCATCATGGAATAATTGAATTTTTATTTTTCTTGAACTGAAGAAAAACAAATTTCAAATTTTGTGATTGAATTAACGTTTTGGAATTTATATTTTTTGGTTCAAAGAGATTTCTTTCAAAAACAAAATCAAGAAAACTGTCGTTATGTGATTGGATAATGTTGTAATAGCAATTATAGTCTACCTTTCGACTTTTCATGCACTCATTGATGATATCTGTATTTCCACCAATAAATGCAAGTTCTAGACATTTTTCTGAAATTGGAATATTCATGCTCGAAACAAGGAAAGAAAAAATGTTGACAGATCCATAGTAGCAGCAAGCTTCAATAGACAACATTTCAAAATGGCAAGGAATAGAGATTCTGATCTTTTTAATTGACTTTTCTGCAACAAATGTCTTGAACTTATCTATTTTATCATGCATAATTATGAAACCGATTTCATTTTCTTTTGGAAAGCGCTTGGTGTCTAATTCAAATTGAATTATATCACTGGAATTAATATTTAAATTGACACTTAATGCTTCTGTTTTTAAAGATTTAAATGGTAAAGAAGTAATTGAATATTTTGCGCAAATTTGGTTGAGAATTTTGGCGTAAAGCTTGGCTGAGCGGTAATTGCACTTGACTGCTACGAAAAGACTCATAATAAGAGCATATAGATCCAATTGATACTTCGAAATTAAAATTGTTGTTATCAGATTAAAAGATTCTTCCACAGATTCATCTGACTGGATGTGGTAGAGGTTATTATATGCTTCGATGAAATCATCATACTTCTTTAATTTAGAAGATTCCATTGGTCAAAAACTTTTGTAAAAAGTATTTTATTTCATTTTACTGGCGTGAAGTACCAAAAGTTCAAAAAAGACAAAAATAGCCATAGTTGTTTTTAATGATTTTTCATGACTATTGAATAAAATGCACTGAATATCATTCTTAATCTCATTGGTTTTGTGTGTAGATTTCAACAATTACTGTTATCTGAAGCATATAATAAGATATTTGGCAATATTACGATATTCTGATGCATGTGAAAGTACAGTATACATTGTGCGTCGCCTGTAGCCTACAGCTACAGTCACCGACACAATGAAAAAAGTGACAGAAAACTGACACCATACGGGCGCGCATATGTACGCATATATGTGTAAAAATAAACGTTCATATGTAAACTAACCTTTATTCACTAGCAGGGGCTGATAAATCATAATCGTCGAGAAGTACGATAGGTGGTCCACCTGTTTAATCTGTATGGAGAGGCAAACGTGACGTAAGAAGCATAACACTGGTTTCTCAGTATATTTAATAGACTCTGCTGTTGGCTTAACTGTAAGCTTATATGTAATAGGTGAATTAGATAACTGACCCTGTTGGAATGTATAATCAGTTTCGCAAGGGAATCCACATAGGTAATGACCTAAGTCATTTGACTCGATTCCAAATTGAGGGACTGATGTGGTTGTGATAGACCTCATGACATCATAGTTGAAGCCAACAGTATCGTTATTATTGTTAGTGGCATTTGCCTGCATCTCATAGAAGATTGGATCATTAGATGCTTGAGCCTCAGCGGGTATGTTACCATATGCTCCACAGTTCAATTGAATTTGTTCAAACAATGGATTTTCATAGGTAGTGTTATAATTAGGTGTTTTCTTAAATAGTGTATAAATGGTGTTCACATATAATGGAGTAAATGCTGCCGTGAATGTACAAGGAGTTCCTTCACCTTTAGCCATTGAACCATCCATAGTAATGCAGTCAATTCTTTTGATTGGGAAGTTTAGAGTCTTTGCCGAATATCTTGTCACCAAATCACTATAGATGTTAGGGTCCAAAGAGAATGAGTTACAGTATGTAATCATTTCAAAGAAGTTTGCATTCTTCTTAGTGAACTTAATAAACTTGGTACCAAATGATATCGTACTCTTATCGGCATTCCAAGTTACAGTATCAATAACTTTGATACCTTCATAGATAGGAGTGAAGTGATTAGTGATTGGAATATAGCTTGTAACATTGGCTTGCATGTTCGGTAATGGTAGAATATCCTGATAACTTAATGGTGTCCAAACCATACCAGCAATACTGAACTTAACCTTAAGTTGTAAGTTACCAGCAAACGCTGGAAGGAATCTAATGTTATTAAGTATTAGGAATCTTCTTAGGTCAATCTTGATTGGTATGTGGAACTTTAATGTAGTTGCACCACTAATTGGTTTATTGAACTCAATAATCTGTCCAGAACGAACTGTATCACATCTATTGAAAACATCTTTATGTCTAGCCTTACTAAATACATCAACTTTCTTAATAGCTTCTGTTGTAGATGCAGTAGAAGTAATGTAACCTTCTTCTCTAGCATTATCTTGTGTATAAACACTTTTACCATTAGCGATTAATTGATATGATTCAACAGCATAGAATGAATCAATGTATCCCAACCAAATTGCTGGAAGATGTGCACATGATTTGCCACCAGCATATTTAGTATCAATTGCTTTAATTGCTGTAACATTTGATCCTGTAGGAGCTGTCTCAACAGCTCTTTCTTTATATACTTCACCATCATATTTAGGAACTTTTTCATCAGCTGGTTCAGTTTCTGTTGTAATTATGCACTCACCATCGACATAACCACTAATGAACGTATTATATAAGTCAATCATGTTCTCACCAGGTGGTGATATGTTAAATGTAATATAACCGTTATCAATAGTATTTGTCGGCATAGCTGGCACTTTTGTTGGGACATATCTATGGTTAGTATCTCCAATAGGAACTGCCCCATCAACTTGATCGAAATAATATCTTACTTGTCTGATGGAATCAGCAATACTGTATGTATTGAGGTTATCGTTCAACATCTTTCTCAGCTATAAAAAATTTACAATCTTCTTATTCTTGGGATTATTCGTCTTATTTGTGGCTGAGGTTTAGGAGGTTCTGGTTCAGGCTCTGGTTCATCATCGAAGTGTATTCTTTTCTCTTCCATTGATTGAACATATTCTTGATTCTCTTTAGTTTCCTTCTCACGTTCAATTGGGTCCATGTTTGGTTCATTAACTACACTGTTACGTTCTAATATCTTTGTCATCATCTCTAACAACATTTTATTAGTATATGCTTGTTCTTCTTCTTTCTTCTCATCAACTTTAGGAGCTTCTTGAACAACAGGAGCTGGGGCAGGAGCTGGTGAATTCAATGGTGCCTTTCTCTTTCTAACTTGAACTGAACCATTCTTCATATGACAAACATAATATAATGGATGTTGTATTCCTTTAGCTTCATTCAATATGATTGATTGCTTTTCACTTGGTGAAAGTTTTGACGTCATTTCTATCCTAATAAAATTTTTTACTCCTAACAAAATGACTGAGAATACTTTCGACAGAGAAGCACTCAAGAATGAACTTCGTGAAGAAATACTTAATGAACTCAAACCAAAAGAACAAACACAAGAAGAGAAACCAGCTAAACCAAAGCGTAAACTCACAGAGAAACAATTAGCTGCATTAGCAGCTGGACGCGCAAAGAATCCACGAATGATTGCAAAGAAATTGAGAGAAGAGGAAGAAGCTAAGAAAAATAATAAGTAAGTGTTTAGAACTTTAACTTACGTTCAAAAGATGACTTCGTTGAAATAGTGAAGTCCTTATTTTTGTTGAAGCATGGTTTCGAACCAATGCACAAGTCAAAGGTTATCTCATCACCTTCATAAAGAGATTTGTACAATTCCACGATGCTATATTTTTCCCCAACTTTCTCAGGGAAGAACAAACCTTTCTTCTCGTCATAATGTACTTGTATCGCATCTGGGAACATTTGGTTTGCAGTAAGTGCAATTACGTCCTGTGTGATTCCCTTCATTCGACAGTGGAAAGCAATTTCCTTGAGGTCATTGGTTAATTCGTCGAGGTAAGTCTTCTTTCCAACGAATATAGATCTTTGTGCCTTAGACATATGTCCTGCAGTAATCTCTGCAAAGTCTGAATGAAATTGACCCAGTGCTTTTCCAATGAGTTCTCTGTTATACCTTCTCTTGTATTCTTCTGCTAACTTATCTAAGTCCTTCTCATACAAGTGTAAACTATCTGTATCCTGATAGAACAACTTCAAGCCCAAATCTTCTGCTGTGAAGAATACTTCATTCATGATTCGTTTGGACATAGAAAGGATTGAAACACCTAATGGACAATAGTTAAAGTGACGAACGATAGGTTTAAATGACTTTACACATGAAAGTTCGGAATCGGGGATGAACTCTATTGTCTGTATGTCATTATAGTTCTTAATGATATAGTCAGTGAGCTTATTGTCCTTGATGAAACGAATCTTTTTGTCAATGGGCTTTAATATCGTCTTACCATAGATACTGTTCAAAAGAAGTTTGATGATCTCTTGTATCGGATTACCTTCCTTCTTATACTTAGCACGTAATTCGAAGAGCTTCTTAACTTCATTCCTTATTGTCATGTCCCTTTTTCCATCATAATAGTATCCATCAATGACTTTGCATGAGATCTCTTGGAACTTGATCAGATCTTGAAGCGTAATGTGGTCTACGAACATCTTGCAGCATGTATTGGAACTTCTGGCAACATGTAAGTCAGGGTTGATGTCAGGATTGACGACAATCAATGGGAATGCTGAGTTCTTACCGATCGACAAGATCTCGATCTGACAGTAAAATCCTGAGATGAACTTTTCCTTTGTTGGTTCAGCTTGGTCATCATCAAAGAGATGCTCCAACAAGTATTCACTGCTCTTCATCTCTTCTGTCATAACTTTTGGAATTCCTTCTAAACAGTAAAGTCTAGCAATTGCTGATGGATACAATGATACAGCATCGAAGTCAGTGATGAGTTCTCCTTCATTGTATTGCTTCTTGTTCTCAGCTAGCATGCATCTTCCTCCTTGAATACACTTGGAAATATATTCACGAGGTTTTCCTGCAAGATCAAAGAGATTACCGTTCTTCCAATATACTCTCTTCTCAAAGAGTTTGTTTGAGATAGAACTTATTGAAACATAATCATAAGCATCTATTTCAAACTCAGTCATGAGGTCATTGCGGAACTTAAGAAAGCCATCTCGTAAAATGCGTACATCTTGACCGCAATAGAATGACGAATAAACTTCCATGTCAAAGTGTTCATCATCAATCTTGCAATCTTCAATCTTCTCAATGTTCTCATTAAAAGCTTCAATATCTTTGACATGATTCATGGCATCATCGATGTTACCAACTTTAGTTGTATTAACTAACTCTTCCGTGTAGTAATTATATGGGAAAACTTCTTTTTCACCACTAGTGAGGTGAAACATTTCAGGGAATCTTTCCAACTTAGTTGAGATGATTGCATAAGAGTCTTTGAAGCAGAGAAGTTTTCCTTTGTACTTTCCTTGTATCTGCATCGTTTGTGAACCTTTGATGATTGGAGTTCCTGTAATCTCTTCTAACTGAGACATGAGAAAAGTGACATCGTACGATAAGTTGTGGAAATAAACTAAACTCTTATCTGGTAAAGCTTCGAGGAATTTTGACGCACAGTCACTTCCCCAAATTGATGTATAACCATCATCGTCATCTTCCATGAAACAAATGTTGTATGCTTTGTGAATGTTTCCATCAGTTGATGCTTCGAAGTCAGCAAAGAAAACATGTTCTCTTGGGAACTTCATGTCTTTCTTCGTCTCTGAACTCCAATCTTTCTTCATCCTTGCGCAATAACGCTCATTGTATGTGAGGTCAATCATTTCTTCAAGGTTCTCATTATACATCGTTGTGAAGTATGTGCAAAGTTCTCCTGTTCTAATTGGTTCGAAATAATTGTTAGCAAACAAGAGTTCAATGACTTTTGCAAGTGGTGTAACTAACTTTGAGTTAATTGCATACCTTGTTTCATATCTTCTGTTAACTAACATCTTCTTCTCTAAAGTCCAATCCTTGCACAACTTACAAACATCTTCATAGTTCTTGATGAACATTGAACTTATTGGAAGCTTTTCGTTCAACATGTAGTGGTCATACATTAATAAAAGTTCTACTGTCATCTTTGGTTCTTCATCTGGTTCATAAGTATATGAATGATTTGAATACTTCTCGTTGTATTTGATGACATGGAACCTTATTCCTGTTTCTTTGGCAATAACCTTAATCTTTGACATTGGAAAATCTTTGACACGAATGATTTCCCTCATATGATTAATTGTTGCTTCGTCAACACCAGCTTGAATACAAGCGTAGATGAAACATGAATCTTTCATCATCTTCTTTGCTGTCTCTGCATTAAGTTCGTTGAAGATCTGATACCTCTCTAAGTTAATAGGTAATTTGCATGTCCATGTCCAAAGCTGACCATTACGTGACCTGTTTCTCTTCTTTGAATGGTTTTGTTTGATGATCTTGAGTGCGATCGTTTCTTGACCTGCTGCTCTCATCGTATCTAACATAACTTGTTCTTCAGCTGTGAGTTTATATGGTGTGTACGTTCCTTTTCTCAAAGCAGAAGCATCAACATCTGAATAAGCTGTATAGTCAAAGATCTCGATCTTCCTTAACGAAGGAATACTACAAAGGAAGAAGTCATAGTTTGATTCAAGGACTTTAGATGCTAATTCTTGTACTTCTGCTATTGGAGCTTCATTAAGTAACTGATGAACTAATGATCCCATTGTATTGATGTTCAAATGACGCAAAATGTTTCTCTTCTCATCAAAGTCGTAATAGAATGTCCACTTCTGTTTGAAAAGGTCTATCTGTCCAATGAACTTTGCCATAACTCTTGGAAACATCTTGTTGAAGTAATCTTTTCCTCTTGGACTGTATTGGTCAATGTTAAACATAATGAATCTTTCTCCTGCTTTAGTTATTGGGTCTAACCATTTCTCATCAGGAAGTTTTTGACCATTAATGTTCTTAACAACGTAAAAGGCATTCTGTATTTCTTTGTATGCTAATTCGCTCTCATCAATCTTTGGTGGAGGGTCTGAGTATATTGGTTGCATCTCCATTAACGCTCTATTATGAGATCTCTGATCGTGATCTAAAGCAACTGGGGAATTTGAAGCTGGAACATTCATGATACCATTGTAGTCATCATAGAAGCTCTTAGCATTCTTGATAGCTTCTTCTGCACTTCCTGTAAGTAATCCTTGATTCTTTAAGATCAGAGCTAATTTATTGGTAATATCTTTTTCTTTCTTAGGCAGTTTGGCTCCAAACATATCAAACATACCTCTCTTGACATCTGGGGGAAGTTTATTAACAAGTCCTTTAAAGGTACTGAACAAAGACATTTATAACCGATAAAAAAATATACGTTATTTTTTTTAATCGTCATCGTAATCATAATCGTACGAAGATTCTGTATCATCATCACTGACATCATTGGTTTCTCTAACTTCTGGCTTATCTGGTTTAATCTCTATCACCATAAACATTGGTGACAATAATCGAACAGGCTGATCTTGGAAGTCAACTAAGGTAAACGTAACATTAGTTAGTTCCCATGGAAATGCATCTATCCATGGTGAGGATTCCTTACATATAAGTGGTTTACCAGATATCCAGAACTCATTGATGTTATAACATGTAGATCTGTACATGATCTTTCTTCGATCATCAACTTGGTCAATATTATTGAACCCAGAGATGACAGACATTGATGAACGAAGGTATAACTGATACCCGAAGTTGAGCATAGGTGGTTTTGGCATTTGTAGATAATAATTATGTACAATAGGTAGTTCTATTCCATATGCACCTAAAATAAGATTTGCTCTATGTGAAGCATCTTTTAAATAGACTTTATGTCCTTTGTCCTGTGACGTAAATATAAGTTGATTCGTAGCACTCAGTGAAACTGTTACATTATGTTGACCTTTTTTCTTGTTATAATAATCAAACTGTTTTGTTACAATCTCTTGTAGTTTTGATACAATAGTATCCATATCAAATGAAAGAGCTGACTTAAATGTACACACCTTTTCTTCTCCATCTTCGTCTAACTGTAAGACAAAATAATCTGTTTCGTCACAAACAATAAAGTTCGCCATAGTACTGACACTTTTTACTCTCATCTTTATCTTACTTGGATGCCCCATGTTAGGATCTGCTTGAAACTGTATTGTCCCGTAGTTATTAGGATCAGTCGATTGTAGATAATACATCATTTTTATATGTAGTAAAAGAATGAGTGTTGTTCCATATGCATATGAATGTTATAAGTCTAGCGTACTTCAATATAAAGAATATACTCTCAGAATTACTGATAATGCTTTAGTCATACATAAAGAAGGTGCTGATGAAGACATTACCATCGGTCCTGGTATATTACCTATCGAGCAACCAGATGGTACAATTGTTGAAACAGACTTAAATCAATACCTTCAAGCGTTACAGAATCGTGTGACAAAAGTAGAGAATAATTACTTAGATGCTCCATTCTTCACAACTGATAGAGATTATATGTTTTCATGTATGGCGAGTAATGGTTTGCAAGAAACTCGTGAGGTAAATATTAATGAAGCATTAGAGACTATAATATATCATGTTAAACGGTTATTATCGATTGACCATGGAGTTCATTTTGACCCAAGGTCTACACTGTTCAATATACCAATGATTGAAAACAGTCAATTAACATTTAAAGAAGATACATTGTATAATGCTTTAAACGCAGCATTTGCTTATATATTAGGTCATGAACAAGTACAAAATAGTGGTATTGCAATATACTTAGATAAAGTTATGTTAAAGAAACCATTGACATTCACAGAAGATGGTCCAAAAGCAACTGGTATTGTTGGTGATGGAACATTATTGACGAAAGAATACTTAGCAAGTCATGTCGGAGAATTTTTCTCCACTAATGATAGCATCAGTACAACACCAGAAGTTATTTTATTGAAGAAACCAATCACATTTGATGTTAAAGGAAAGACAAAAGCAACTGGTATAGCTGGCGATGGAGTTCTTCTGACTAAGGAATACTTGAAGAAAAATATCAATGACTTCGTTGAAATTGTCAAAGATAAAGAATCTGGTCTTAAGTTCAACCCTTTATCATTCATCTTTGCCATAGCAAACGTGGAGCTACTGCAGCCTCATGGATATCACTCCAGAGTCAAATAAATGCTCTTTGGGCTTTTGTTGAAAGTCAAGAAGGTATAGATACTGTTCTTGACACTCTGGGTAATCTTGGTCCAAATCATAAAGGAGGTTTTGTGGATGGAATAAAAAATTTAGTTGAAAAGACTAAAACAAGTTTCCAGAAGATAACTCATATAGAAAGATTCAGAAATGAAGGTTATATGGAACTTGAGAGTTTTGATGTGACTGGACCTTTGGAACCAATTCTAATGGCACGTGATGCTAATGATAAAGAAGAGAAAGATCCTGGACCAAAAACAATCATTTCTACGTTAAGTACTTTGTACCCTGATTTTGTGACCTTAGTGAAAGTTGCTAATACATCAAGAAAGAACAATAATATTACTATGTCTGGTACTGATGACCTTACTGATTATCTTTATCTCATTCTTGCTGAATTAGCGAAGAAAGTTGAGGAGAACAAAAATAATGGAGGAAGAACTGCACTTAAGATTGCAGACAAAGCTGACAAAAGTTATGTTGACGAAGAGATACGTAAAGTTGCATCTAAAGAATATACTTTATCACAGTCTGTCATACTTAAGACAATCAAAGGTCCAGAGAAAGATATGTACCCAGGTGATGGTACAACAGTTAAAGTTAATGAAAGAGTTTCATTCCCATCTGGTATTGATGCAAAAGAAGTATATATTAATGGTGAAAACATCAATACAACATTGATTCCTTTGAAAAATAATGAGTTCACTGAACCTTTGACAGTTAAATCAATTCGTTCAAGAGAAGACAAACCTGTTATAATCAATAAAATAGGAGCTGATAATGACCAACCAGTTCAAATCAAGAAAATAAGAGCTGATGACATTATCTTGAACTATACTTTAGGCTCAAGTGCTCCACAAGAAGATCCTCATATGAGTTTAACAGAGACCTTGCAAAATTTGAATGGTACTGCATATAATATGTCTATGAGTTATAACAACTTTAAAGCACATGAGTTACCAGTTCTGTTAGACAACAAAGCAGACAAAACTTATGTTAATGAACAGATCTCAAAGATCTCTAATGCATCTGTAAACAATGGAATACCTGAAAGCATTACAGTTAGCTTTGGTAATTGATATGGGTAAAGTTGCAATATTTATAAATTATAACATTGGTCCATCAGAAAAAGGTCCAAGTTACTATACATTGAGTCATGGTAAATCTATTGAACTTGTGTTCCACAAAAAAGATGGAACAAACTTAACTATTCATCCTGGAGATACGTTTGAGTTTTATTTGAACGATGTCACCACAGTAGATTATACTTATAGACCTTCTAACATGTTTGACATGATGTATCCAATTGGTTCTATATTTACATCAATGAGCTCAACAAGCCCGCAAACCCTTTATGGAGGTGTTTGGCAACCGATTGTTGATCAGTTTCTTTACTGTTCTAACTCATCAATGGACTTTGGTGGTTCAAAGACTATCAGAGTTGAAAACCTTCCACCACACTCCCATAGGTTCAGTGCAACAACATCTACTAATGGAGAGCATTCACATTCAATGACAAAAAGAGGTTATACAAATCTTGCAGCAGGTTCTGATAGACAAGGTATGAATAGATATGATATCACAGATGACCCTAGAGATGTTAGTACAGGTATTTTCTGCGGATCTGCAGGAAACCATACTCACACAGTAGCTGGAATCACAGATGCAACAGGAAAAGGTCAAGACTTCTTACCACCATTTATGACTGTATTCGCTTGGTTCAGAGCTGCTTAACTCAAGATCACGATCACAAACTGTTTCTCAGTATGAATGAGTAGCTCTATTTTTACATCATTACTGAAGTATTTCTTTTCTTCATCAATGACAGAAAGAATGTTTTCATCATCTTTTAAAGATCTTACCAAAGTTAGATCTTCATCAGAAAATCTCAAAGAAAGACTCATTTATGCACTAATAAAAATATAGCTAATTATTTTTTTATCTGAACTTTTTATCGGGTATATAAAGATGTCTGAACATCATTTGAAGTTCTTTAAGATCCAACAGTTTGTAGATGAAGTGAAGAAGCAAAATAAAACAGCAAAGAGACTACTTATATGCTTACCACAAACATTACGTCAAGGAAAGTATGGTTATAGTGCAAGTCCGATCATGATCTTTGTCGATAAGCAGAAATACACAAATGAAGGTTTAGCTAATTTACTCAAGTTTGAAAAGATAGCTATAAACATTCCTGACCATTTCTCAGCGAGAATAAACCTTGACAAGACTAAAAGTTATTGTTTATATGTAGATCTCACGAAATCAACAAAGAGTAAAGACAAAGAATATAACCCAGTTGAACTTAAGACAATGGGTAAGAACTTACTCAAAGCTGCTATCAAACCTGTCGAAGAGATCGACATTGAGGATGAAGCAGAAGAAATAGATGTAGATCCTGAAGTGTTATAAACGATAAAGTTTATTTTTGGAGGAAGATGGTGTCAGACCATTTGATCTGGCATGCTTGTTCTAGGTAATTGCAGAAACCTGGAAAGATTTTATTGGTCTGAGTTTCATACCTGGTCTCTCATCTCTCCATTGAAGCAAGTAAATTTACATGAAGAGTTCGTCTGGATTCTCAGGCTTTGGTACACACTGATCGAAGATCTGTATGACCTCTTCATGACCGTACTCCCTCTGGTCAGACATGAGTGTTCTGAAGAACTTTTGCATCTTCGGACCAGGTTTAGCATCTATGCAACGAGTGGGTCTCATTGACATTTTTGTCACTTTTATTTGGTCGAATGGAAGGATTCGAGTTCATGCCACTTGACAGCAAAGAAGGTGCAGAAGAGGTTGTTGTTGCTGCATTCTATGCGAGCTCACACGTTGACGCATTCCGAACTTACCAGGATGACCTCGAAAAAGAAGGTCGAAAGCTTGGAAAGATCCAAATGTTGCTTGAGTTCTTCCGTGGAAACCTTGCACAGAAGTATGAGAAGAAAGAATAAACAACTAATTATTACTGAGCTTAGCTCATAAATGTAAGTTTTTACTCTGATCAGATCTTAGATCTCGTCGGGACAAGCGGAAAGGATAAAGTCCATGAGCTGGACTTTTGTCTTAGTGAGCGGTACTGCGGTCATGAGTAGTTCGCGCTTGTTTGAGCCACTTGGAACGCGACCCTTCCAATTCCTCATAGATCTCAAGGCAGAGATCGTGAAGAACTCAAGGACAAAGAGTCTTTGAGACTTGGTAAGGAATCCCTCATCATCTCTTTCATCCTGGAGGGTCTTTGTGGATGCAGTGGACTTGATCTCGTCTTCCTCGATCGGATCATTCTCATAATCTTCATCACCCTTCTTCCTAAACGTCATCTGCTCTCTCTTGTAGTCGTTCCTGAGAGCATTGAGTCCAGCTTCAAGATCTTGTGAGTTCTTTGCAGGTTTATTGAAAGTTTTCTTTTCCTGCATTTGCTGTATAAGCTGGGTTTGCTGTTGCATCATCTGCATCATCATTGCCATCATATCTAGTGTTGGTGATGCTGGAGCTGGTGTTGTACCATCTTGGGACATTCGGTCGTCGGTTATGTCTTTACAAAAGACTGCTTTACAAAAGACAGCTTTACAAAAGACAGCTTTACAAAAGACAGCTTTACAAAAGACAGCTTTAAAAAGACAGCTTTACAAAAGACAGCTTTACAAAAGACAGCTTTACAAAAGACAGCTTTACAAAAGACAGCTTTACAAAAGACAGCTTTACAAAAGACAGCTTTACAAAAGACAGCTTTACAAAAGACGTCTTGACAAAAGACAGCTTTACAAAAGACTGCTTTACAAAAGCATTTTCTCACAAAATTGAATACTTTTGCTTTACAAAAGACGTCTTGACAAAAGATTGCTTTACAAAAGTCTGCTTTACAAAAGACGTCTTGACAAAAGATTGCTTTACAAAAGTCTGCTTTACAAAAGATTGCTTTACAAAAAGCTTTACAAAGAGTCTTACAAAAGTTGCTTTACAAAAGACAGCTTTACAAAAGAGCTTTACAAAAGCCATGACTGATCTTCATCCAATTTGTTTAATCGAACTTAATGAAGTAATTTCTGCATATCTCCTGCATGTATTTGGAAACGAGAGGATAAGACAACTCACCAAGGTTTCCAGACGCCAGATCCAAAGACTTGAATCAACTGCAGGAGTAATCCTAAGCTTTGAAGAAGGATTAACCAATAAGAAAGATGTCATTGACTCCAAGCGTGAAAGCCTTGCTGCTTTCTTACGCAAACACCCATGGGTCGATGTTGATCTCCAAACTCCTTACCAAGGACTCGTTGAAACCTTCACGACCTACAGACAGCTCCTTGACAGACCTGAGCAGAACCTTCTGGTCGAACGTGATGGCACATTAAGCCCTACAGACGAGTCAATCCAGAGAGAAGAAGCTCAAGAGTAAAAATCTGACATTTATACTTTACATGACATTTTTTTCATGAGTGTTCACGTTAAGATCAATGATGAAAACATGACTTCATGGGAAGATATCATTGATGACATAGAGAATGACCTTGATGAAAACATGATGGGAGCTCAAACGTCAGTTAAGGTCAAACTTGGTGAAGTTCAAGAAAAGATCTCCGAGATCAATGCAAAAATATCTGCTCTTACAGAGGTTGACGTTTATTACAGAAGCTTGGAGAGAACTTTAAGCAAACTTGAACGTCAGAACCAAAGTCTCATAGTTGTGCTCCAGAAACTCAGTCTCATGCGTAAAGCATATAATGACTACCTACATGTAAGAGACTTACCTTCTTATTCTACTCCAGATCTCGACTTTTCCGATATAAGTCCAATCCTTATTGATACAACACTTACGATAGCAGGGATGCTTCCTACATATCCAGAATATGATAACTTACCTCAGCTCTTCGAGTATCTCAAGAAAAAGTTCATGATCTTATTATGCGAGACCATGAAAAGACGTCAAAATACCAGAACAGAACGAGAACAGAGCTTACTAATAGACTTATTATATAATACTAAAGAAATAAAGGAGTTTTTATTCTAACTTTGGTATTTTTGGGAAGAACTGATCTGGATCATATTTGTCAACCACAGGTTTTGGTATCAAAAGTCTCTCTGGTTCTTGGACGGCTGGTACTGGAAATGGTTCCTTTGGTTTCCTAGCTTTTGGGAGATCTAAAAATTTTCTTGGTCTCTTTCTTTTGTGTAAGTGTTGTCCATTTTTATCGACAACGAATGTGAGCTTTCCGTCGTCAAAGATGAATGTCGTCGCTTCTTCAGTTCCCTCATCAACTATTATCTTCTTGATCTTTCTCTTCTCCATTAACAGAAAAAGTGACATATATTACTTCATTTTTTTCTGAGTGTTAGGATTAATTAAACCTCTATCTATAACATGCTTTCTCATAGAAAACTTCTCTCCATATCTTTTTGTCAATATCTCTAAAAGTTCTTCTGTATAAGATTTATCACTACTGAAGTAAATAGATGGATAATTAAGGACATCAAAGGTTTCTACAGTATCTTTAAGAGTCCATTCATCTCCATACTGTATAGAATAAGTATGGAAGTATGGAGGATCACATATAAAGAAAACATTGGGAAGATCTTTATACTCATTGAAGAGTATTCTCCAATCTTTATGAACAATAGTTAAACCTTCAAGATAGTCATCTATGTTTTCACCAAATAAGTTAGTATATCTGAGGTATAACACTTTCTTCATTAATGTGTCAAGATCATAGTATTTGTATGCTCCAGAATAGAGAAGACGTGAACATAATGTATCCCAGTCTATGTATGGAGCTTTACTTATAACTTCTCTGACGATCTCTTTCTGATCAGTAGGAATTTTCTCATCTGGCTTAACATTTATTCTCTCCTTAAGTTCCTTAAGTATTTCATTCGTGTCATGAATGTGTTTCAGTCTATCAACGTAGTTATCATAGTCGTTAGCTATGATCGTTGCTTTTGGGAACATAATATGCAACAGATGAGAGATATAGAGAGAACCACCAAAGAGGTCAACGAAGACATAATCCCCTTTGATGTCTTTGAGTATGTCGATAAGAGCTTTCCTGATCTTCGACTTATTACCTATGAAAGGTAAAGGAGGTTTGGTAAAAATCATTTATATGGTAATAAAAATAAGTGTTTACTTGAGACAATAACCTCTGTTGAGTTTGTAGAACAAGATCAGAAGTACGATCAAGTTCAAAACAACACAAATGGCTAGGATTGCGTTACCAACAATCTTTGTCTTTTCCCAGCAAGACTTCTTCTTTGGTTCATGTGCTGCTTCGACATCACTGTATGGCTCGGACATTAACTTAAAAAGTGTCATGACCACTTCATTTTTGATGAAGTCAACAGCTTATGTCCACTTCCTCCCACAAGCACTTGAGGGACAAGAGAAGGTCATCATTGACTACCTTCAAGCCACTGAGAAGCTCCAAAAGCTTCAAGATCTCCGCGAAGAGTTCAAGTCCCGCTTGAAACAGGAGAACTTACTACAGGAATACATGCTCATTTTGTACCCATTACTAGATGGCTCCCATTTACCATCAGAGTACACTGCAGCTCTTGATGCACTCAAAGATCTTCGCGATCACCGTCCGATCGGTAAAGAAGCCTTCGAGCTCACCATTGAGCAAGCCATCCTCGCCAAGTACAATGCAAAGAAGCGGATGCTCGAAGCTCTTGATAAGATCAAGGAGTACGTCGAAACGTTCTAAAATAATTACTTGAGTAAACAATAAGTTTTATTGAGTAAGTCTTGAAACATTTGTGCTTTTGTTCTTGTTTGAACAACCATATTTAACATTAGATAAAAAATTTTTTGGTTAAACAATAACATACTTAAGACATAAATTATACCTACTTATTAACTCAGTATATTGTGCATTATATGCATACTTAAACTCTTGAGCAATATTGTTCTCATCAATGATTCTGATCTGAGCTATTTTTGAGAAAGGTGGTGGAATACCACAACATGTGATGTCTGGGTCCAGTAGGTCTATTTCACACTTGAACCCAGTCATTCTGTGAACAACTTCTTCCAAGTCTGGCTTAGGTAGTAAGATCTGATCTTTGCTCACTAAGTTAGAAAAGAGCTCTTTGTCTTGGTCTAGAAGTATCTTCTGGTATATACTAAGTAAATACTCTTCTACACCAATCCTCGATGAAGTCTCCACAGATCTCGATGAGGTCAGGTTGGAAGTTAATGGACTTAAAGGAGGAGGATACATTGGTGCTTCTGAGTTCGTAGTTGTTTCCTCTTTTTTTATCTCTGTTGGAGCATCACTTACTGTACCAGATGGATAGTTCTTTATCACAATGTTATTAGTTGTTCTTGAATCAACATTGCTTGTTGGTTCAATTGGAAGATTAGCTGCACCATAAAGAATTGACTTCGATCTCATTTGTTATGAGTAAAAATTGTTTTATTCTCATATAAATGACGAACATTAACCCAGAGAACAACACAGAATATACTGCAACAGGAGTTGTTTACAATGATCTAGATCAGATCGTCCAACTCAAAGCCCCAAGAGGAAGGAATTTAATAAGACAACCTCCACCAAAGATATATGTTGATGATGGTAGTAATGGGTTCAACTTAGTGTATCATTACTCATATCCTCAATATGCAAAAATTGGGTCTACCCCAAACGTGACAAACCATTATATGAACCTTTATGATGAAGCAAGGTTTCATGCACCAACGAAGAAAGAACCTGATGCATCAAGATTACATGAATTCGCAGACCATGATGGTTATAGCGATTACTCAATGCCTGTAAGACTTTAACGTTAATAAAAAAATGACTGTTGGTAAACAAGAAAAAACTTTAATACAAGAGGATTTGATGCTACCAATATATTCAACTGATATGGGAGCTTATCAATTCGATACATTTGAGAATCCTGGTGGAACACCACCATATTTTCTTTTGTTCATCAATGTAAACAGTAGAAAAGGTTATGCGTTCCCAATGAGTGAAAAGAACTCAAACAATGTTCTAAGTGCAATGCAGAAGTTCATTTCACAAGCTACAGGTGAAATGAAGCCTACAATACTTACTAGTGATGAAGACCCAGCTTATACGACACAAAATGTTCGAGATCTGTTGGTCAGTCATAACATTGAGCACATGACGACACAGAAATACAATCATAACATACTAGGTATTATTAATAGGTTCTGTAGAACTATTAGAACTATGTTACATATGAAGTTAAACCTCAAAGAAGGTGATAAAACACCACCTTTCACTGCAGATACAATGAGACAAATTATTAATGACTACAACACTGAATATCATTCAAGCACACAACAAAAGCCTGATGATTTCACAGAAAAGGATAATGAGGAATATATAAAGAAGCAAAGATTGAAAGAAGAGTATGTCAGAAAAAATAACCTTTATAACTTAAGACCTGGTCAAAAAGTTCAAGTCATAGTTGAACCAAGAACATGGGGTAAAGGTAACCAACAAAGAAGACATCTTGATCCTTCTTATTATACAGTTGATTCAGTTGATACAAGTGCATACTTGTTAAGAGCAAAAGATGGAAGTGTTGCAAGATATCCACGTTATCAGATATGGACAAAAATAGAGCATGGATTAAAGCAAGGAGAAACTTTAGATCAAGGAAGACACGGTGCTGTTAAAAGTATTGATGGTCATGAACTTGTCGGTAATGATGTAAAGTATGATGTTACGTTTGAGAACGAAAATACAGGAAAAGTGACAGGTAGAGGTATGCGTGAAGGTAATCCAAACAGGTTGTCACAAATGGAAGTACAGTATTGGAGGAAAAATATTAATGAAGGTCATGTTAAAGATATGCCTAGTTTTCTTGAGAAGTATCGTGGGTTTCGAGTTTAGCTTGTAAGTCCTTTATTTTTGTTTCATACAATGAGATCTTCCTTCTGATCTGTTCATCATTGAGAGGTTGCTTGACTTTACGGAACTGTACACGTCCGTCTTTCATTGTATGTACATAATATCCATCAGGAACCTTACCATCTTTTATATATTCAGTTAACCACTTTTGTTTAGTTGATGCTTTAATGACTTGACTCATTTCTTACTGGATAAATTTTTATGTTTTTTATCTTTTGACGATTTTTTCTTATCCTTATCTTTCTTCTTGTCCTTGTCCTTCTTTGATTTATCCTTCTTCTTGTCCTTGTCCTTCTTGGACTTCTCTGCTGCAGGTGGTGTTGGATTCTGTTTGACTTTAGCACTTGGGTCAGGACCTTGTCTTTGAGACTTAGATATAGATTGTTTAGGAGCTGCTGCTTGTTTAGTTGCTTCAGCTTGTTGTTTAGCTAATTCAGCAGCTTGTTTATCATTCTCTTCTATTTCCTTTGCACCAGTTGCGACTTCATTCTTGAACTTTTGGAGATTCTCAGCAGCATCCATTACCTTATTCGCTCCTTTAAACAATCCATAAAATTTCTGCCATGGTGATACTGAAGGTATATTTCCACCAATTGCTGGAGGAACTGATGCTTCAGGAGTTGGAGATGGTGTTTTGTCTGAATTGAGATGCTTTTCTGCTTCAAGAACTTGTGTAGTATTTTTCTCCAGGTATGCTTTTGCAACCTCCTTAACTTCTGGACGTTCATTATTTACATCCTGTCTTGGTGTTGATGTTTCAGTAGCGTTTTCCTGAGTTACATTAACAACAGGTTGCTCAACTGCTGAAACATTAGCTGCTTCAGTAATGTTATGAGTAGTTGAAACATTTCCTGATATACCTTCTCCTGTTGGAACTCTTGGAGCAATTGTTGTGATGTTCGCCATTGCAGGAGTTGGAGTAGGAGTGTCATCAATCTTTCTGTCAGCTTTCGTCGTTTGCGTTGTAGTATTTGTTGTTTCATTACCATATTTTGATCTTAGTCTGGTAAGCTCTAACTTCATATGTTCTTCAGGATATGCATACTTATTATATTCACCCTTAATATTCTTTTTCCATTCATCGTATTTATCTTCTGCTGATTTCTTAATTGATGCTAGTCCGTTTACAGCCAATTCATCAGTACCGTTATCAGTAGTCTGGTTATATAAAAGATTAGCAGCTGATCTAATTGTGTAATCCGTAAGATTACCAAAACGCTCTATTGTACCTAATGTTGTGTTCTTCAGTTCCTTTCCAATTCCTTGTGCAGCATCTTTGACTAAATCAGCACCCCATGCACCAAATTGTCTCACAGGAGCCGCTATTGATGGTGAAGGAGATGGAGATGGCGATGGAGTTGGTGATGGTGAAGGAGATGGAGATGGTGAAGGAGATGGAGTTGGCGATGGTGTTGCTGCTTTCGCCTTTCTATCAGCTTCTTCCTTAGCCTTTCTATCTGTCTTCTTTCGCCTTTCTATCTGCTTCTTCCTTAGCCTTACGAGCTTTTTCTTTCTTCTTAAGTTCCTCTAGTTCTTTACGTTCAGCTTCTTCTTTCGCCTTTCGTTCAGCTTCTTCCTTAGCCTTACGAGCTTTTTCTTTCTTCTTAAGCTCCTCTAGTTCTTTACGTTCAGCTTCTTCTTTCGCCTTTCGTTCAGCTTCTTCCTTAGCCTTACGAGCTTTTTCTTTCTTCTTAAGTTCCTCTAGTTCTTTACGTTCAGCTTCTTCTTTCGCCTTTCGTTCAGCTTCTTCCTTAGCCTTACGAGCTTTTTCTTCATAATATTTTGTATACTTATCATCAGCCCAATTACCAAGTGATTTGGCACCTGTTAGTATTCCATTTGCGGTTGATGTTGCTGTTCTTCCGAGCCATCCCCCTACCGCTGAAGCACCATTGCCAATAGCACTACCAGCATTTAAAATTCCACGACCAATCCATATCCCTGGTTTTGCCTTTGTATTAAGAGTAAGAAATTCTTCCTTCCTATCTTCAGGTGTAGGATTTGTAACAGTTCTTACAGTATCAACAACAGTGTCAACACTGGTTCCAATAGCACTACCAACAGCTGTTGCACCAGTTAGAATACCATGGGTAACTAAATCAGTAGCTCTTGAGACAACATTATCACTCGAGGCTTTCTCTGCTGGATAGTTTGATCCTTTGTAAGTTCCTGGACCACCTCTATTTGAAGCTTCTCCTTCAACTATTTTCTTCTCTTCTTGTGCTTGTTCTCTGGCAACACTCAATGCACGTTCTTGTCTTTGAATGTTGTCTTTCTTTAACATGTAACCACCAAGTGTCTGTGGTGGTGTGTTTTTATCTAGTGCAGCATCAATTGCAGCCTTTTCTTTTCGCTTTTCTTCGTCTAACCAATTTTGAATAGATTCTGCATCAGTTGGTTCAGCTGGAGTTGGAGACGGTGTTGGAGCTTTAGTTGGTGTTGGAGACGGTGTCGGAGCTTTAGTCGGAGTTGGAGACGGTGTTGGAGCTTTAGTTGGTGTTGGAGACGGTGTCGGAGCTTTAGTCGGAGTTGGAGATGGAGTAGGTGCTTTTGTAGGTGTCGGTGATGGAGTTGGAGATGGAGTTGGAGGTACTGTTGGTTCTGGAGTTGGTTCAACAGTCGGTGAAGGTGTTGGCGCCTTTGTGATTCTTGGAGTTGGCTCTGGTGTTCTAATAGGGGAAGCAGTTGGTGTATTAGCTCTTTTAAGAACCTGTGATCTTTCCGCTTGATTTGAATCAGATACTGGGTTAGTTGTACTAGGATGTGATACAGGAGTTATTTTTGGTGTAGGTGTTGGTTTATTTAATGTTATACCATGACTACTCGACATTGGTGGAGGACCTGCGTGAGCAGTTGGTGTCAGAGTTGGCGTTGGAGCTACTGTTGGTTCAGGAGTGGGAGTTGGTGTTGGAGCTACTGTAGGAGTAGGTGTAGGAGTTGGTGTTGGAGTCGACATTTGTTTTAACCTCTCATTATACCAATTCTCCAAATAATAAGCCTCACCCATTAAGTTACTCTGTCTTTGTTTTATAGAAAATTCACCTAACAGTAATTCATCATGAATCATTTTCTGCAGCTTTGTCGTGTTTTCTACTTCCTTTATTAGAACGCTCGATGTATTCGCCAATCCTCTATATTCCTTAATCATCTTATCTAGTTTGTTCATATTTGGTACTTCCTTTTTCTTCTCAGCGTTAATCTCATTAGATCGTTTCTCCAATTCTTCAACTACTTTGTAAAGCTTATTTATCTTGACATGTGATTCCTTTACTTCTCCAGTCCTTGGATCCTTAGGTTCCTTGTATTTAGCTAATTTCGTCTCTATATATCTTCGTTTAGCGTCATATCCAGGATCACTGGTTCGTAAAGGATGCGAAGGTGGACGAAAATAAGGTATGTAGAAATCTGGATCATCATTAATAGAAGAACGTGCTTTAAAGTTACGAACCGCGTCTGTAAAAGGGTCTCTACCACGTGCTGTATATGTTGATGTAATCAAAAAGCCTTCTCTTCTCATTGGGAAATTAATACGACCTTTTTGAACATATTCTTTCTCAAAGTATTGCCTAGCATTGTAATCAAAAGCAAGATCATTATATATATCGCGCAAAAAATCAAATGTATGCTGCTTGAACTTTTGATCGCTAATTATGGTACGAATTATCGGACGTTCATTCTCCCATTTCTTAACTCGTTCATCAATGAGTTTCCTCTCTTGTTCACTCATTTAAACCTCATAAAAATATATTATCTGCGTATAGTGCCACTAATAGCATTAATCCATGGCATGTCTGATAGTACACGTACTGACTGAACTAATGGCTTATGATTGTTCCAAATAGCTCCTCCAATGTATGCGTTATACTTATTGTTGTCAATAGTTTGTTGAGGTTGAACTATAGGTGTTTCAACAGGCTTGTCTCTACTGAAGTCACCACCAAGAGCTTTATTGAATGCTTTAAGATTCTTCGTTAATGCATTATCTTCACCTAATGTAGTTTTTGCAATTCTTTCACCAAGACTACCGATAACACCACCGACTTGACCAACTTGAGGGAAAAGTTTGTTAGCAATGTTAAATCCAGCACCTATTACAAGACCAGGATTTTTTTTCACCATACCCCATCCAGCTTTAACATAATCGCCAAAACCCATTTATTTCTTCTTAAAATAATGTCATCTTTTGTTGCTTAACTTCTTTAAAGTCCGTCTTTCCTGCAACTATATGAACTTCCATATATGAACGAGGTGTTGGTAGCTCTTTGTATTTGTTCCATAACTCTTCCCAATCTTCTGTTGCTCCTGACTGTTCAATCATTGACTGAAAGTCTCTCATAGAATAACCTTGAAAGATAACGAAGTCAGTGCATAGTCTCTTAATGTTTAAACATATATGTCTCCATGTTTGACACATGATGACAACAGTATAGTTATAATGTCTGACCTTAGTGATGAAGTTCGCTAATGGTGAACGTGGGTCATTCAATAAGTCATGACCACCATAATCGTCTAACACTAATAGAGAATTACTGGGATACTTTGTGAAAGGATATTTGTTCAACTTCTTTACAACATATATTGCAATCTTCTTATACTCAAACTTTCCATCAGGTTTCCTTAGTTGATGCTTTGTTAAGATGTGTTCCATCTCCTCTGAAATTTTTTCGAACTTACTTTGAACGAACTCAACAATAGCGTAATACTTTGCTTTCATCTTAACGTTCTTCATTAAATAAGGCATAAGTTCTTTATCATCCTTTTTCAGTACTGGTGCTTTAACTTGACTCATAAATGTCTTCGCTGTTTTATCCATTGTTCCTGATGTTGCTGAGATAACTATTGAGTCATAATATGGAGTATTAGTGAAGCGGTCTGTTATCATTATATGACGAATAACACCATATGTCTTACCTGAACCCATCTTACCGCAGTAGAAATAAACACCATTAGTACAAAATGGATAATCATCAGAAAATGGCATAATGAGTGCATTGTTTAGTTCTTTACTATTCTTACGTGCTCCATCATGAAGAATCTTATCTACTTGATTAATAACTTTCTCCATCTTTTAGTTACATATAAAATGTCTAAATATGATGGATTATACTATGAACATGTTATGAATGATGGCACGATAAGTGGTAATACAGTCTCATATAAATTACCGAGAGACTTCATTGAATATCCTGCGTCAAAAGCTCTTGAGATAAGAAAGATAAGTCTTGAGCATCCAGACTTTGAGTTTCTTGCTATTCCATTAGAAATGACAGATTCATCAAAATCAGTGAAAAAAAGGTTTGACATGAGATATTACATAAAACCCAACATGACTACACAGGAGTTGAATGAAGGTCTTATGGAAAAAATGACTGAGGCAAGTAGAGAATTTGTTGATTGTTACTATGATTCAAATGAAAATAAATTGAATGTATTAAGAAAAGGTACATCACCAATCATAACATTACCTTCATACAGTAGTATAGAAAAAAATGCCTTGAATTATAAATATGACATGTCCCTAGGAGATGTGTTGGATTTCATCACTGCGTTATTAGAAACCACTGAAACAGACACAACATCAAGAAAACCAGAGCTTGTTTGGGAAGATGACCATGGTAGAACATTCACGCAAAAAGTAATTCCATCGAAAGCAAAATTTTTAGACTTATGGGAAAAAAAATATATCTCGCGAATGCATGTATATTATAGTTTTACCATAGCAGATTTCACTGACGAAAATGATAAAGATAAAAAAACATATAAGTACTTTGATGAGCTTTTCATAACTATAGCGAATATCAGGTTTATCCTTGAGCGAAAGGGCAAACCAACATATAAATTTGTCGGTTATCAGATAAGAATAAATCCTCTCCTTGAGCCTTTAGTAACGTTGAGTAATATTGCTCATGATAACAAACAATTTATATGTAATGTGAATGAACAGCTTGTGCCACCAAAATTTTACGATATCACTGGTTATAAAGATGCACTCGTGTTTGAGTTTTATAAGCGCTTTTCATTCAAAAGAGTTGAAGAATCAACTGATGGTCAAAAAAAAGGAATATTATGTAAAAGAACCATATGAAATTCCTAAAGACTCTAATATAATGGTTGAACTTATATTAATGGCTGGTACTCAATCTCAACATAAATAGTTTACGTGACAGAATTTTTTGACACGTAAAGTTTACATTTTAATGGAAGCGAACAACACAGCTCCTGCTAAGGCTCTTGCCATCCAGAAGCCAGAGGTGACTGAAGAACAGTCCTCTGGCGACGAGGAAATATTGATGGGTGGCGAGAGTCCGAAGACCGAGATCAAGATCCCAGATCTCGGTCACAAGCAAACGGCAAGGAAAACGGGTCCACAAGCTACTCCTCGAGAGCTACGTTTAATCAAGACCAGCCACAAGTATTTGAAGCAGCTGGAGGAGTCAAACGTAGCTCTCGAGGAACTAAAGCTCAAGCTGGCTGAAAAAGTAGAGGAAGCGAAAGGTAAAGAGCTCTACATCAGCCAGCTTGAGTATAAAGTTGACTCTTATGCCAACGAGATCTGCGATCTTCGATCTCGTCTCAACCGTGTGGGACATGAGTCAGACAGCTGGCATGAAAGGTTCCTTAAGGCTGACACATCCTACCATGAATTAAAGCGCGCCATAAGGAACTTAGCCACTGACTTCTGATCCCACACATAAGTTAAGAATAAACGCTTAATTTTATGCATATAACTCTTATTTTTACTCATATAACTTATAGTTCATTGTCACTCAGATCACGATCTTTGTGATCACGATCAACTTAGGAAAAGAGAAAAAGTATAAAAGTTAGTATAATTAATTGTTTAGTCTTAAGTAAGCTTATTGTTCATCAAGGAGTTGATGTAAGCGTTTCTTTGCCTCCGTGATCTGCTTCTTTTATAAGCTTACAGTTAAGCCAACAGCAGAGTCTATTAAATATACTGAGAAACCAGTGTTATGCTTCTTACGTCACGTTTGCCTCTCCATACAGATTAAACAGGTGGGACCACCTATCGTACTTCTCGACGATTATGATTTATCAGCCCCTGCTAGTGAATAAAGGTTAGTTTACATATGAACGTTTATTTTTACACATATATGCGTACATATGCGCGCCCGTATGGTGTCAGTTTTCTGTCACTTTTTTCATTGTGTCGGTGACTGTAGCTGTAGGCTACAGGCGACGCACAATGTATACTGTACTTGTGAACATAATCATAATCAATAAAAAGATTGATTTTGAATTTGAAAAAATAAATATCAATTTTCATGGATTAGGAGTATATTTTGACCGAATAATGGAGGTAAATAATAGATTCTTAGTGTATAAACCAGAAGATAGCATAGAAAAAAATTATATTTCTTGAAATATGAGAGAAAATAAAAACAGTTAATATTCAAACATTCATAGATAGATTTTATAAAGTGAATAACAAACAACAATACATGAAAAATTATTCTATTTCCAATAGTTTTTTCAAATTTTCTAAAACAACAGAAGTTTCTTCGGATGAAATATCTTCTAGTGAATCAATAAAAGATTCGTATTCATTTGCAAATTTGTTGATGAAGTATTTTTCGATTTTTCGCTGAGAATTTGCGTTATTAAGTGCAAAATAAAGATTTTTTGCAAATTCTTCTTGTTCATGTGTCTCTAGTGTTGATAATGTTGATGGGAACTCGAAAATAACTTCATTTCCAAATAATTGTTCAAAAAATGGAATATTATATGAAATTAAATAATTAACGAGGCTGATGACGATTCTTTTCATTAAAAGGGAAAAGGAGTCATAGTTTTCTGCAATTACTTCTCCAAATCTTTCAAAATTAAAGTTGATAAAATGAGAATTTTCAGCGAGAAGCATGCAATGTATCAGCTTTAGTATGCTTGGTGAATAGTCCTTCAAAGGATTTTGAAGGAATTGGCCGACCAATGCTTCGAAATTCAGAAGATTTAACAAAGTTGTCAAAATTTGTGGATTTGGCAAAGCCAAACTTAGTGATTGAGCGAATATATCATATATATCTGCCCATATTCTTTCGTAAACGACTTTGTTTAAAAGAGAAGCCAAATAAAACATTATTCCTGTAGAAGTCAAAATTTCTAGATAGTAATGATCGTAATTAATTACCTTTGCTACCAATCCAACGATACTCTTCAATATTTCGTTTCTTTTGTCAATTGGACTTACTTCATCTGAAGATGTTGTAATTAGTAGTTTTAACATGGTCGAAATGATAGATTGCACTTGTGCTTTTGATATAAGATCATGATAACTAAACAGATACTTAAGAATATAAATATTACTGTTAACATATTTACAAAAGAAGCCAATGTAGCCTGTCGAACAAAAGTATTCGATCGATGATATGGCATTAATAATAATGCCATCATTGACAGCAGATAACGCGCAATTAAGATTTGTTTGAATTATTTTACAAAACAAAGCAGAAATGCTTAATATCGTATAGTTATCTGTTGTTATCTTTAATTTGCTGCCATATTTCTGGAATATGTGCATCTCACATAAAAATTCTATTATTCCTTTTGTTTGGCAGAGTTCTAGCAATAGTGTAAATGAATTATTTCGGATCTGAGAAATTTCTGGATGTTTCTTGATGACAATTGGTAAAACGACTGGATCAATAACTTTGGTCAATAAAAATTCGATAATGTGAGAGTCAATGATATCTCTAACTCGCATAATAGCATTTTTACAGTAAGTTATGATGACTGTCAATAATTTATTTGATGTTCTGTAGTTTGAGTTTGAATAATGATTTTGAAAATCTAAAAAAGCTTGAAAAATATCAAATCGCTCAAGCTCTAAATTTCTTTCTTCCGAGTAACTACGATGCATAGGATAGTTTGTTGTTATCCAATGCTTTTCGTCCGTATCGTAATAATCCATGAAAAATTTTGTTGAGAAAAATAATGGGAATCAAAATATAGATTATTTAACAAAGAGTTATTCATTTGATCATCTTTTTATCAAGTTCGCAGAAAAATTATTCGTAGTAGTATATGTGGATGGGTTGTGTGACTTTTTTTGTTACATCTATATATAGACGATGCATTAAAATATATTTATTTATAAATCATTAAAAAATTAACATTAATTTTAAAATAATTTATTTTTTTATCTTTTATAAAAGAAGCTATATATAGATGATGTCAGATATTCCGCGATTAATTAAACATTGTTTAAATCCTGAATGGGTTAAACTTCAATTTAAAAATGAAGATTGTGAATTATTAAATGAATATGAAAGCCAAAATAAGCTAATGAGGTATAAATATAATGATAAAGAATATTTAATTTCATGGAATCAATGGAGTCATAATCAAAGACCTCATAAACGAGAAGAAGAAATTGAAAATAATGAAATGGAAATCATTGATGACATTAAAGAGGATGGAATTCCTAAATTTTGTAGAAAAACCTTTAGAACTAAGTTAGGAGCATATAAACGTAGAGTATTAAATCCTGAATATCTTAAACATATATTTAAAAAGGAAGACTGTGAATTATTAAACGCTAATGAATATGAAAATGCTAAATCAAAACTGAGATATAAATATATTGGAAGTGATGAAAGATGCAAAGATAAAGATAAAGTTTATTCAGTTTCATATAATAACTGGCACACGTTAGGGATAAGAAAACATTTAGGAGATTATGGGAAATGTTCTGAATTCTTTAAATCTAGTATATACGAGAGAGTAAAAGAAATTAGAAATAATTATTTTCATGAATAAAAGATTCACTACCATAATGAAATAAAAAATAAAAAAATAAACTTTAAAAATTCATGTCTTACATTTATGAAAATTTATTTTTATTTTGTATGAAATGAGCGTCAAGACTAACGACGTTAAAAAATTGGGATTCACAAATGAGGAAATAAAGGATATATTAGAGGAGGCGGGTTATGAAGTTGATAAATATTATTTAAGAAATTGTCAAAAATTCGCGGAGTTTTTAAATGAGTTTGGTTATGATGGGAAAATGAATAAAGATGATGTTATAAATTTCTTATATCCCACATCTGAAGAAGAAAAACCTAAAGAACCTGATGTTTTCCCTGAATATTTTGAAGAAAAAATTAAACAAGATGAATATTATAACGATGAGATTGAGAAATTGGAACAATTAAGAAATGAAATAGATGAAAAAATTAAGGAATTAAGAGAAGTTGAAAATGAAGTAGAGGGTTTAATGAATATCCCAGCTTCAGAATCAGAAGTTCAAAAATCACATGAGGAAAAGATATAAAAATTACTTTTTGGATCAACACAAAATTTATTAGATGGTGAATGACGAAACACTTTCAGAAGAAGGCACAAATTTATTCATAAACATAAGTTACAATTTATTGACGATGGAGATATCCATGTATATTACTTTCACCTCTTGATTCTGAAAATTCAAAAAAGCACTGAAAAATGTAACATATGCAACAAATTACGTAAGAAAGAAGACCATGATATTTACACAAATTATTATTTAAATAAATGTACAGGTGTTGATAAAGTTTTTGATTTGTTAGATAAAATATCAAAAGAAACCATTGGAACCTATATAAAATTTTTATGTGATTGTGGTTTCATTATTGAAGATACCAATAATGTTTCATATGAAAGAACAGCACCGAAGGAAGACGAAGTTGAAAGGTCTATACCATTCGTTATATAAGAACATAAAAGATATGAAAACTATAAACATTATATTTATTCATTTATTTCAGAAAAAATGGAAGCAACCCATAAAACATCATCTCATCATTTTATAGCTATTCATACATTCCTTTTCAAAGTTGTGAAATTAAATAAGACAGGAATTAGATTTAATGTATCAGGGTACGCATTCTTGAGTAAATTAAAATGTATTCGTCACGTCGCAGATGATAAAAATTTATGTGTTCTTAATTCATTTTATGGACTTTAGACTCTCTGAGTCTCGGACTTTAAAAATAAACTTTATTTATTTTTTAATTTTTATTCTTACATAAATGAAAAAATGAACAGCTAAAATGAATGATAATCAAATAAGAGCGAAGGTAGAAGGTTATTTAAACGCTTCTATAACATTCCTGATGGTGTTAATCCTAAAACTCGTAGAAGTTATTTAAATGAAGCCATAGATGCATATGAAGGATTTGACATTTCATCAGAAAGTGAGAGTTAGCAAGAATGTTAAATGTTAATATTGATTTTCTATTATTGTGATCCTCAACCAGAAGACGTAGACATTAACAAGGTAGACTTTCCATTAGTGGAATCAATAATGATAGATCCAGAATTTGAAACAGTAAATATTTTATTAACACAGAGTCCATGTGGAAAACTTCACGCTGACAGAATAACAGACGTTGAAGCACTCACAGGATATAAAGTTTGCCCCTTTTGCAAAGAAGAAGTTTATTCTATCCGTGATGATCCAGAAAGGAAAAACCAAAGAAGATTTTTAAAGCATTGTGAGAAATGTAAAGAAAATAATGGAAGATTAATTCAAGACGTTCAATTGCAAAAACACAACAACCATATGCACCACATATACGAAACAGAAGATATATCAGTGGTTATTAGCACATAATTTGCAGGAATATTATCAACCGACAAGATTATATTACTTTTGACTTTGAAACATTAGAGACTAAAGAAGAATTACAACTTTCTGAGTGTGCAACTTTGAATGCTTACTTAAAACCATTCATGGTATCATCAACAGTTAAATTAAACGATAAAACATATACGAGGAATTTTTGTTTAACTTCGAGTGATTCTTTTATTTCTGATTGGATTGAGTTTTTATTTTCAACCTGTTCATTAGTTGCTAAATCAAATATTGAACAATATGAAGAATTAATGAATACATTAAATGAAAAACAGAAGGAAGCATTTAAAGAACTTCTAGATGAGGAATTCAATAAAGTGAATATCATAGGTTTTAATTCGGGAAAGTTTGATTTAAATTTAATTCTTCGTGATTTAAACACTGCAAAATGGAAAATAAAATCAATGCTGGGTTCATCTTCACAATTTAAGCAAATCATTGTAAAGAAAACAAACGTTCCATATGAATTGAGATTTATTGACATCAGAAATTATATAGCGGGTGGGACATTAGACCAATTCACTCAAGATTTCGGAAATAATAAATCACGTGTTAAATCCTTTTTCCCTTATCAATTCATCACATGGGAAAATTACGAAGAAGAATTATATAAAGTGGAACCATTCACTCAAGATTCATTTTATTCAGCATTAACTCAAGAAACTATATCAGATAGTGATTATCAAATATATCTCAATGATGCTAAAATTTTTAAGAATAGATTAGAATATTTTATTCATTATTGCAATAAAGACGTTGAAATTATGATTGACCCAATTGATAAAATTATTGAAGAAACATTTGTTTATAAAATTGATATGCTTCATAATCTTTCTTTATCATCGAATGCTTCAATGATTCGTTACGCTTTAGCATATAAAGACTTCAATCCTAATGAAAAATATCCTGAGGAAGAGATAGAATCAAGTTTTGAATTAACAAAAAAGTATTGGAAATATAAAATTGAATCATATAAGAAACAAGATGAAAAAGCAGAAAGGGATACTAAAAACAATGTTTCAATGGATGACTATCAATACTATCACGATTTAATCCTTTCATCTAAATGCAAAATGTGTGGTAAAGCGTTTACATATGTAAATAAACCAACATTGGATAGAATCGATAATGAAAAACCACATACCAAAGAAAATTGTCAGTTAATGTGTTGTTATTGCAATGTCGTAAAATCAAATAAAGATGAAGATGTTCAACGTTTAAGAATCAATTTAAGAAATTATGCATTAAAAAATAATTTACCAATGACTTTAGATTCAGTTGAAGCTTATCACATTCTCCGTAATGGAATTACTGGTGGTCTATCAAATGTTCAACATAGAGTAAATCTTAAAGGAATCACGCACATTAATAAACTTTCATATAATCCAGAAACTAAAACTGTATCAAATGAGGACACCACCAACATTATGACTCATTTCGTTGGAGTTGACTTTAATTCATTATATCCTTCATCATTTTCATCTAATCCTCATGATTTCATTCAATATACTGACCATAAAATGTATATGCCGGGAAGATTGAATGGTGTTATCATTTGTGATACAGCAACAAAGAAAGCAAAAGCACTGGGAATAATTAAGAAGAAAAATACTTTATTCGTGGCTGAAGTAAAGGGTCACATTGATGAAAAATACATTAATGATTACATAAACTTTTTACCGATAATAAGAAACTTAGATATTATCACAGATGAAAAAACAATTGGCAGTTTTATGTATAATTACATGAAATCAAACAATCTACCAGTTGACCAGAAACAGAGAAAATTAACTCAGTTAGCATCAACACACAACCAATATCAACCATTTTCTTCTTATTATCTTTGGTATCTAATAGACAGATTTCATTTTATCATTGATGACATTCAATCAATTTTAACATTTACTAAAAACACTTTTTTAATGAATTTGCGAACAAATTTATGAATGAAAGACAAAAGGCTGAATTAGAAGGAAATAAAGGAAAAAGTTTATTTTGCAAGATTTCACTTAATGGATCATATGGTTACGATGCAATGAATACACAAAATTACGCAAAGACTAAAATAATGAATGCACAGAAGGCACGCGTTGCATGTATGTCAAATAAGTTTAAAAACATAAGAGAAATAGGTGGATACATATCAAGTGATGCTTAAAGATAGATTTTATAGATGTGAAACATGTTTACAAGAGGCATTCTTCACTTTAGATAATGCTAAATACTGGTATTTGGTTTTCATTTATGATTTTATGTATAAATGCATGGATGTTAATCGTTTTCATTTCATTGAAGGTGATACTGATTCATCTTATTGGGCAATCGCTGGCGACCCAAATCTTCCTAACACTCAAGCATTTCAAGCAATTGTTACCGATAAACAATTTTATGATAAAAACATTTTCAAATTCGCACCTTTTGATTTCTTCTGTTTTGATGAGAAATTTAAACCTAAATTAAAGAATAAAGCTGAAGAAAAAGCACATGAGAAGAAGTTATTGGGTTTAGCAATTGAGAAACAAGGTGATAACATGGTTGCTTTATGTCCTAAGTGTTATACATCATTCAATGGTTCAATTGATGGAAGTGATTTTAAAAAGATTGCACAAAAAATGAAAGGTGTTAGTTTAGACAAAATAAACAATTAACACCTAAAAATTATTTGGATATAATAAATGATAAAGTGATATTTGATGGTCAGAATATTAATTTACAACTTAAAAACGGGTCAATGACTCGCTTAACAATCGGTAAGACTGCATTAACAGGAGCACACACTAAGGCTGTATGTTGTGAAAATGGATGTTGTATGCCATTTATTTAATACAATTTAAATTTTATTTTTAATGAAATGCCACAGAAGAGACAAAAGGAACCGTTAATGATGGCTTTGATACTATGATTCAAAGAGGGGCACCCTTAAAACATTGATTTTATTTTTATATAAATGAATAACACAGATTTAAAAATTTTAATTGATGATTTAGTATTTAATCAAAATTTTCTTAGTTATTATGAATTAAAATCATATCTCCAAAAATATGATAATAATATAACGGGTGATGATATGGAATATTATTATCCATATTATAAAAATGAAATTTTGAAATATCATGATAGAATAATTTCTAAAATTAAAGACAAAATTAAAAATAATGAATATTCAAAGGGAAAAACTAAATCACAACTTAAACAGTTGAAAGATTTCAAAAATAAAGTATTAACAGAAGAAGATATTGATGAATTATATAAATTATATAATCCTGAGCCACAAAAACCAAAGCAAAGGAACAAAACACCCAGGTCTTCAGACCATAAATGATGCACAAGCTTTAATTTATGATTCATTAGTTAAACCATATTCAGCCCGACTTTTAAATGAAGATCAACTTTTGGAATTCATCCTTCAACATAAACTCGAAGCGGGAAAGTATATCAAACCTTTATATACAGCATATTTAAAACAAATGAATAGAATACATCCAGAATTAATGAAGGAAGGAATGAAATCCAAAATCAAAGCAGATAAAATTAAACCACTTGCAACACCAAAACCTCCAACGACAGTACCGCCTCCTCCTTCAGTTAATCCTTCATCATTCACTTTATTATATCCATTTCAAACATTTAAGAAGCAAAAAGATTTTAAAAAGGATTTCAAGATATTAAATAAACCAATTGACCCAAAAATCAACCGTTAAAGGAAAAATTTAGTCGCCCTTCATTTGCACCATATCCATATTCATACGAAATCGATCATTTAGAATATTCAAAAGGAAACGTTACTTATTTATTTGCCATTAACATTAACACTAGATATTTATATTGCATTCCAGTGAAAGGGAAAACAGAACAGGAAACAAGAAGAGCTATTCAATACTTACTAGATCATGAAAGAGTAGATAATATCAGGGGTGATGGTGATAAAGGATTTCAGGCAGCTATGGCTCATTATTTCCCACAAATTAATTTTTACTTTTCATCCTCTCCATATACGTTTCATAATAAAATAGTTGATGCAATGAGAACTCTTAGAGATGCGTTAGGGGTTAACGGTCAGATATACTGGGATGGAAATCATGACTCCATCATACAGCAGTTAGTATATTATTACAATAATACATGGCATAGAACTATAAACATGAAACCGGTGGAAATGAAAAATGATATTTCAAAAGAATGGGAATATATTAGAAAGCAAATGGAAAAGTTAAATGATGTTAAACGTGAACAAATTAATTCGGGGCTCATGAATTTTAAACAAGGAAATAAAGTTTTGATTCATCTCGATTATGGAAAAACTGATAAATCAATGACAAAAAGAAGACGAAGATTTGACACAATAGCTGAATTTGTTAGATATATTAACGGCAATGCATTAGTTGAAGTTGACAATAAATTAATAGAAATTCCGATTTATTTTATTACTCCATTATATTTAAATAATATTTAATTTTTTATTTCGTAAGAAATGAGTGACAACGAAGCAGCCAAGAGTCCAGACGATGAATATAAAAAGAAACTAAACAGAATTAAATCAAAAATAGCTATTACAAAAAGAAGCCACAATGCGGTGGGGTTGAAAACGATGAAGAAATAATCGAAAAATTAGAAACCTACCGTTTCAATCCTTAAACTGAGTGAAGCAAAAATAAAAGAATTTAATAGAATAAATAAATTGATTGGAAGAGATGAATTTAATAAAGATGAATTTTTAAACTCAATCCAAATTTAATTTTTATTCCTCTTCGACAACATCTCTCTTTCCATCATTACTGCATAACCACATTTTCTCAATTTTAGTGGTTTGTTATTTTTAACATGTTCTTGCATCATTTTTATCATTTCCTCCCTTGTTATGATTCGTGGTAAATTTTGAGCTTGTGGGTATTCATTTATGATAAAAATAAAAATTTGTTATCAGTTATTTTATCGTTAATGGTTTTTAGGTTATTCAATAATTAATTATTTTTGAAGAACTGAAGGTGCTACCATGTTACCATGTGCTACCAGGTCATTTAACTTCTCTGAAAAAGTGTGACAACATGACATTTTGACAAACAACAGGAGGAAGGCAGTTATGAATTATTTTTGAAGAACTGAAGGTGCTACCATGTTACCATGTTGACGACATGACATTATGTCAACAACACAGGAGGAAGGCAGTTTGAATTATTTTTGAAGAACTGAAGGTGCTACCATGTTACCATGTGCTACCAGGTCATTTAACTTCTTTTAAAAAGTGTGACAACATGACATTTTGACAACACACAGAGGAGGAAGGCAAAAATAAATTCCAATCATACTTTATAAAGCATCATTTACAGGTATTTCATCGTCAGTAAATGATTCCTCATTATCGTTTGGTTCAATTTGTTTATATAATCCTTTCATTTCTTCTTTCAAAACATAACACCATGTTTGTTTACCGTCTATTCTTCTATGTTTCCTATCACATTTATCCTTAATACTCATTTGAAAGTTTTTGTCTTTCATGTCTGATGGTTTGCAGAATAGAGCATTTTTACACGTCATACCTGCAAACAATTCATCATAATGTGTATTTATCCATACATCTAAAGGATTTGATGATAATTCTATTAAATCTTGTTTGGCTTCAGTCATCGGTATGATTCGTACATTAAATGATGAAAGGTCATATTGCATAAAATACGTCAGTAAATTATCATAAAATTCCTTAGTACATGAATCCATTAAATTCTTGAAGTAATCAAATTGACCCTTGAATTTACCATTAACCCTTAAAACTACGTATCTTCTGTCTCCAACATCAATTTTGACAGGGTAGACGTTGTTAGTTACGAAAATGAAGTTTGCAACATTCTGAGCAGTTCTTCTGGGTTGATTCTTTTCATTAATTCTAATCTCATTATCCGTAATAATTGATTTCAAAGCGTTGAAGTTTGCGAGTCTGTCTTCACCCACATTCTTGAGTTCATTAAGTACAAGAAACATTTTATTTTCAACTACTGAATTGAAATTACCCGTTAGCTCACTTATTTCAGTAATGTTTTTACATGAATAACCGGCGAGAAGTTCAGAAATAATGTCTGTAAATCTGTTTTTACCTGTTCCCTGAAGTCCTTTCAAATAATTGCTGTTTCATTCTTGATTCCTGGATGTTGAATCATTGATGCAATCCAGCCGAGTAGGTATTTATACACTTCATCGTTATTATCACAAATGGCTTCTTTAATGAAATCCATAAACATCTCAATTTTTGAGTAATCTACTTTTTCGAGAACGTTGTATTTATAACCCTGAAACGTTGAGAAAACATCTGGGGAATCAGATTTAAAGCAAACACCCTTAACGGTTAATGAAGACAATTGATTTAATAGTACATCCCATGCTGTTATGGTTTTACCTTCTTCTTTAAATAATTTAATCATTTTGAGTGACTCTTTCATGTTTGACTGAAGAACAAATGATATTTGATTCATTTTGTCGTGTATGTTGTAATCTTTCTGAATGAAGTATTTGTTTCCACAATCTACAAAACGAATTACACATGATAAATCCTCAATTACTTCAGAACTGTTTTTATACTGATGATTTTCAGCCTTGCGTCTAATATCTGTTATCAAAAACGAGTCATCAAGTTTGATATCAAATGTTATTTTTGGCTTACGTAATAAAGGTAAAACATATTTATCATAATATTCCTTTTGGTATAGTTTTAGAATCTTCACTAAAACAAATGGAGAAGTCATTAAATGTGCATATCTACTACGTGCTTTTTCAAAATTCCTTTTTGCATTTTCTGTTAAACTGCAGAAGTTATAAACGTTATCGTATGCTTCATTAATTAAATGATTAGGTAACGAATTAATTGCTTGAAACAGTGTGAATAATGTTATTTCTTTTTCTAAATTCATGTTTCCACCGTCATTATGTACTTCAAAATCACAGATGCCATCAACTATGCTCTGAGCTAGTTTATCGTCAATGTTTACATCTTTGTTTTCATTCATTATACTCTTTATTTCTTCATTCTTCTGTTCAACTCTTACCTTAATATTCAAATCATTTAATATATCATTCACTGTTCTGGTTAATGTTGAATCATAACTTCCACGAATGAATGAGTATGTATTGATTGGTTCTGTTGCATTCTTGCGAACTCTTGAATCAGCCATAACTACTAAAGAACGTTTTGAATCATCCATAGAAGTCATTATGTCAATATCATAATCATTGCAGGAATAACATTTAATCATTCTGTTCGAAACTGCATAGAAGAAATTAGTGTTGCAATAAATGTGAAGACCTCCTGATGCGGTTTTAACGATAACATCTTTATCCGAAAGTTTTGATAAAATGTCTTTTCTAACTGTTTCTTTAAGTTCATCATTGTACGATTTATTGATATCAACATCTATAATCGTTAAATTTGATATTTTATTTACTAATAAAGCCATACCAGTTTTCCTTCCTCTTCCTCCATCGTATTTGAGGTAGTTATGTAAATCAATCCTGTTTTCACCAATTCTTTCGTTGAGGGTTTTAGTTTCTGCCACAACTAATTCCTCAACTAATGAATCAATAACTTGTTCATCAGAAATGATAAAGTTGTTGTTGTTGTTTGTTGCTGTCATTTATATAGGAATAAAAAAATAAAAATAATTTTAAAACTAACTTTATTTTTGGGCTGCATCATATTTCCTGAACTGTTGTCAAAATGTCATGTTGTCACACTTTTTAAAAGAAGTTAAATGACCTGGTAGCACATGGTAACATGGTAGCACCTTCAGTTCTTCAAAAATAATTCATAACTGCCTTCCTCCTGTGTTGTTGTCAAAATGTCATGAGGTTAGAAATGAGGTTAGATCTAACCATCTACCCTAAAAATTATTTTTGGTGAATTCAATAAAAATAAATGGTTCATTTACTCACAATATTTTTGTACAAAACAACCCCAAGCTTTTAACTTCTTTTCTGCAGCTTCTAATGCTATCTTAGCGAGTTCATATTCTCTAAATTCTCTCTTTAAATTTTCTTGTTCCCATTGGTCTAGTTCGTATGGAGAATCTCTATAACCATAACATCACTCACGTTCATGTTCTAATTGTTTTTCGCACATTTTTTCCAACTTCTTCTTCAAACAAAGGTTTAGCATTCTCTACTGTATCTTCAAGTTCTTCTTCATCTAATTTCTCATGAACTTTCTTGTCTATGGAGTCCATAATATCTTTGACATAAAATGCATACTTTACAGAGCACCATTCAGCAACAAAATGAACGAGGTCAGGATGTATGTAAATACCTTTGAATTCATTTATAACACCCTTAGTAAGCTCATAAAATGCTTGTTTTGAGGTCGAGCCACTTTTGGCTCCACCGTATTCGTTCATCCAAAACTCAAGAATTCCCTGTATTTTAGCACTATTGAGAAATCTGTTTAAATGGTTTAACTTTCCTGCTTCTCTTGCCATCTTTGTTGCATTAATGTAACCATCCTTGTCTCTACGTAAGACTTCAATACCGTTATAAGTGCCTTTTGTGAATGTTTCGCCATTAGATTTGTTAGTGAATGTTTTTGCTTCGACTGACATTTCTGTTCTTACATACAAAATAAAAAATAAAAATAATTTTAAAACTAACTTTATTTTTGGGTCATTTACACTCATTCCGATGAAGTCATGACAAATCATTTCCTGTGTTGTTGTCAAAATGTCATGTTGTCACACTTTTTCAGAGAAGTTAAATGACCTGGTAGCACATGGTAACATGGTAGCACCTTCAGTTCTTCAAAAATAATTCATAACTACCTTCCTCCTGTGTTGTTGTCAAAATGTCATGTTGTCACACTTTTTAAAAGAAGTTAAATGACCTGGTAGCACATGGTAACATGGTAGCACCTTCAGTTCTTCAAAAATAATTCATAACTGCCTTCCTCCTGTGTTGTTGTCAAAATGTCATGTTGTCACACTTTTTAAAAGAAGTTAAATGACCTGGTAGCACATGGTAACATGGTAGCACCTTCAGTTCTTCAAAAATAATTAATTATTGAATAACCTAAATCATTTACTCACAATATTTCATGCACAAAACGACCCCAAGCTTTTAACTTCTTTTCTGTAGTTCATCCATTACTTCATTACCTAATTAATTACAGACATAAAATATATTTAGTTCATTCAATAAACACGGTACCATGCGAATACAGTCATAAATGGTGGCATGTAATCTTTACTTTGTCCCGTTGTTTGTGTATATCCTGAAACGAAATGTGTATGGTTTCCTTCTCCCTGAGTGTCACTCCAGTAACAATTTATGGCAAACTTAACGTCGTCTTTAACATCATATCCTTTACCTTTTGTCATTCCTGACCAATCCCAATATCTATGCTTATGCCAACCTGCTTGAGATGTGCTTAAATCTATGTAGTGACTATGTGCAGGTAAATTTTCACCTGAAATCGTTTTACTTCCACCTGTTTCCTTTGAAGAGTTTGCACAATACAAAAACCTGTCAACTATTTGTTCCCATGCACCAACACCAAACATTACTTGAGGACCTCTTGCATCCATAGATGTATAAATAGAACCTACTGGGTTCATTAAATCAAACATATGAGATATTATAGGATTGTCTCTTTTGAACTTAAAATATAGTGTAACTATTTCAGGTTTCTTCTGGTTTGTGTCAGAATATTTTTTATAATATAATCTTATGTTTTCAGGGTAGGTAAAATCTTGACTATAATATTTATTTCTGTCATCTGTATAATAATATACTATTCTCGTTTTTTCTATTGCATTATATCTTTTATATCTATAATAATCTAAATATAATGTTAACTTTGTTCATCTACATGTGGTGTTCTGACATCATCTCCATAGTCATAATAATATGGTGCTGGAGCTGGGTCAGGCAATGTCATATCTGCCATTTCATAAACTCTTAAATATTTCTTTTGTTCGTCTCCATATAAGTTTAAGTAGCAGTTGTTGTCTAATGGAACTTTAACTTGTGTGTCATCATTCTTTTTATAACTTACATACATTTCATTGTTATTTTTCGGAATGAGTTTCCACCGTATACCATTTTTTAAGGAGTGTACAAACTGCCATCTAAAATATTTATTTTCTTCATTGACAGAAAAGTCGCCAACAATAGTTTCAATATTTTTTGTTCCTATCAAACTTTGGTATATTTCGTTAACATATGTTTTATCCGCTTTAAGGTCTAAACATCCTGAAACCCATCCTGTATCAGCTTTAGTTTTTAAAATCTTTGATGTCCATTCATGATACCATTCAACACTTTCTTTAATTTCATTATCTTTTTCGTTAACATATTCCTTATCCGCTTTCTTCATTAACTCATCGTTAACATATGTTTTATCCGCTTTAAGGTCTAAACATCCTGAAACCCATCCTGTATCAGCTTTAGTTTTTAAAATCTTTGATGTCCATTCATGATACCATTCAACACTTTTTTTAATTTCATTATCTTTTTCGTTAACATATTCCTTATCCGCTTTCTTCTCTAACGCAGCAGCAACACATTCCTTATCAGCTTTAGTTTTTAAAATCTTTGATGTCCATTCATGATACCATTCAACCATTTCTTTAATTTCATTATCTTTTTCATCCACATATTCCTTATCTGCTTTCTTCATTATGTCATTTAGGAAACCTTTTATGAATTCCTCATTTAAATTAAATCTTCCAATCTTCAAAACTTTAGGAAATGCATTGAATGCGTAATATCTTTGTTCTTCTGGTGGAATTGATGTTATATCATCCGTTATACCTTTAATTTTTGAATTCATAAATAAAATTTCTTTTATATTTGATATCACCGCACCACCTTTGCAAACGAATTCGAAATGGTCATTTTTCAATACTATCTCCAAATCTCCATATTTCAACCTTTGCGTTTGTTCTGCCGTCTTTGAATTATATGCATATATGGCGTATGTAATGGTCTGAGGGACCTGGGTGCTTTGTGCCTTAAGTTGTTGTGGTTGCTGTTGTTTAATCATTTATTATGATTTAAAAATAAATATTTAATCCGTTATCTCATCACCTATTTTTTCTATTTGAAATTGCCATAATATTTCATTCATGAATTCTAAATCACAATCAAATAGGTCAGTTATCTAAATTTAATATTTGATAAATCTTTTGAATGAAGAATAAATGAATTCCCGGATAATTGAAACGGATATGATAAAGAAAATGTGTTTAAGTTGATGGATAAAATGTTTTGTATTGATGGGTAAGAGTTAGGGTCTAATGTTTGATGTGAAAATCTCATTGGGGTATTAACTTTATCACATTTGATTAAAATGAAATTGGAACCAGTGTCAGAATACAAAACATCCCCAACATCTTTTTCAAAATTTAATATCCCCAACAATGAACGAAGATGAGGAGTACAAAATTTAATTTTCAGCGGAAATTTAATAAGGTTATTTATTTCATCAAGTTCAAAAAGTTTATCAGGTTTTGATTTAAAATTTTCTTCATACCATACGATAAATGATTCATTTAAATAACTTAAAATCATGTTAATATCCCATTTCGCTATCACATTATTTATATACATATCATACGTTTTTTCATGGTCATCTTTAATAAATGATATATAATCTGAAGGGTCTAAAAGAATGGGATTAAATTTACCACTCACAGAAACGAGAGTAACATTATAAATTCCGCTAACTGTTAAATTTAATTCACAGTATTATTCGAAATAATATTGATAATTGACATTTTTATTACGATTAAAAATATGGTAAAGCGTTATTTTCCAGTGATAAATAAAACTAGAATAAGATTACCTCAAGAATTCATAAATTCAACGAATAAGAAATTCATTCATGTTATAAATTTTAGTGTTTTCAGAAAATATGAGTCAATGTCATATTCATCATCGGGTTATATTTCACTTCATTCAAATTTAGTTCAATCAAACCCATATAATGACCATTTCATAAGATTTTCAGATGGTATTAAAAATGTAATTGATAGATTAAAATATGAACAGATTGACAATATCGAATTTTTGGAATTTTGGTTTAAATATCCCGATGGAAAAAAGATTGAAGTTAAAGATAAAGCTGATACTATAACAAAAACAATTACAATGACCGATCCGATAGTGGGGAACAAAAAGAAATAAAACAAACGATAGAAACTGGTGAAAGGTCAATTATTATTGATTATGATTCAAAGGATTATTATTCGATAATGTTAATGCTTGAATATTAAATAGCCTTAACAAAGAATTTTTCAAGTGATATTTTATATTCATCAACTATTTTATTATAAATATCATTATATGTTAAATGAAGTTCAGTTGTTGTTCCGTTCTTTGATATCTTAATTGTGCTAATATCCTTTATAGGATTTATTTTTGCAACTGTTCCGCAGCATGAAACCTCATCATCTATGAAAAATTGAATCTTAACGTCTGAATCTTGAACATCACAAAGAATGGCGATAATGTGAATTAATGATTCATAAGGTAAAATAATTAAACCGATTGGTCAATTAAATTTATTATTGAATCATAATTATTAATTATTATATCACGGTAAATTTTCATTAATTCAGAATTAATGTCTATTTTATATGGCGCATTGCGACTGGAATCGTAGATTCCTGGGTTCTCGATGTTTGATGAAAGAGGTGGGGGGTATGTTGGATAAGTGGGAATTTCAACAGGTTCTTTACCGGTTCAGATAAAATGATTGGGTCTCCATTCTCATGGTTTTCTTCATTCTCTTCATTCTTCGGTAAGTCACGAGTTAATAAATTTGGTTGAGTTGCTGACCTTGTTAATTCAGGACTAACATTAACTTTAACATTTTGAATAATTCGTGATTTATCATCATTTACGTTATAACCAACCGTAATCTCTGCTTTTGCGTTTGTGTTCTTTTGACTTGTGAAACGTCTTCTCATTTATAATTGAATAAAAAAAGAAAAATATATTTAAAGTTTTATTTAGTTGTTACGGTAATATCCCAAGGTTCATCATTGTTTGCTTATACTTTCTTTGTAACTGCACCAATTATGTTATTGATATTGCTTTGAGTTTCTTCCAGTCTTATTTTATCATTTACAATATCTTTAATCATTTCATTACATGCATTCTTAAAACCATCTGATTTTTCTAATTTACGTCTATCACTTTCTTTAATTAAATCAAAGTTATAACCTTGTTGAGAATAAAGTGGTTTCTTTATCAATTCCTTGAACGCTTCTGAAAGTGAAGATGAAGAAATTCTTGCCACTTGAATTGGTTTAAATTCTGCTTTCATTGCTTCTTTCTGTTCATTGAACACTGGATCGAATAAAGCAACTTTAAAGAATTTCTTAGCTGAATTTCAGGTCTAATATTTGCATATTGACCATCAAACTGGTTAGAATATCGTGGTAATCCATCCGGTCCCTCTTCAATAGCATTTAATTCTTCATTGAAATAAGAATATGGATTATAACGGTATGAATTAATTGGACCATTTTCACCTTCTCCAATGTATTGTTTAACAGCTTTTCCATTTTCATCAAATTGCATAGGATAACGTTCATTATATGCTTTACGTTTAGGATAATCAGTATAGTTAATTTATACCCATTTATGACTTTAATATTTCCTTGACCATCAGTAACAAAGACTTCATTTATACCATCAGGTTTTCCATTTGGACCCGTAATGTCTGCTTCATGTGCTTCCCAATTTGGTCCATGACGTTTGGCATATGCTTGAGCTTCTGGTAATGTTAAAACGTTTCTCATTTGTTTAACATCTTTTTGAAGACCAGCAACAATATGAACTAATTCTTTCATTCCGTCTGGAACTTTCATAGTTCTATTATATACACCCTTTTTGTTTGTCCCTTGTTTTAATGGAACCTGTAGAAGATTTGCTATTTCTGTCATGTTTAATTATAAATAAAAAATAAAAATTAATTATAAAAAGTTAATCAAATTTAACACTTCCTTTATTTAAATCAACTATTATTTTTCCATGTTCACCTAATTGCTGATATTGTGTGTAAAGTTCATTAATGCTCATTGGTAAATTCACTTGATAAAGCATAACGTTCAACTGTTGACGACTAAACCCACTGAAAATGAAAAGGGTTGATAGATTTGATTTAATGTTTGTGCTTAATGCTTTGAAGTATTGAACAGCCATGAAGAATGAACACTGAATGTGTCGACATTGAGTTAATAATGATTAAAATATGATTTCTCATTAGTTATTAGTTTTGATTTCACGCATCATCTAGAAAAATTAGTGAATGCAAAAATTCTCTATCAAAATTTGAAATAGAAAGTGTTTCAAATAATTCATCCCGTTGTTTATCAATAATTTTATCCTCTAATCCTTGCTTCTTGATTGTATTATATAATTCTTTATACATTAAAAAGTTTTTTAAATAATCTTCTGCTTCTTCTTGTGATAAATAAATAATTGGAATTTTGATTAAATGCTTTAAAGATTCAAATGTATCATCTGAAGGTGAACCTGAACGGTTGATATAAATTAACACATGTGAATGGGGGAAGTGTTAGCAATAATGATAATTTGTTTTAATATCGTTAATGTTTTACCTTTATTTTGTTTACCAATTGCTGCAGTGATTGAATTTAAGTAACATTCAGAATATGGAATTTTCATTAATTTTTCCTTAGATAGAGCATTTCTATTATCACTCAATGCTTCATTAATCATATCATCTACGTATGTATTATATACTCTGCTAATTCTTCAGAATTGAAATCCATTTAATCAAAAATAAATTTATAATTTTAAACATTTCTATTCATCAATATTTCATCATATGAACTTCTATACTGTGGTGGTGTACCTGTTGGATGATATTTCAAACCTTCATCCGGTGTCCATGTCCAATATGTAGTCCTAGTAAACCAAACCTGAGGAGGATTTGTCACCTTTGAACAGTAAGTGTCATTTTCACCCTGAATGATTGGATAAGCTTTCACTTGTACTGTAACTTGTGAGTTGAAAGTTTCTAATCCATCAAAGAATATACCCGCTCCATCACGTTGAACTGGAATAGTGCATAAGAATGAAGTTTGGTCTTTCCATGTTCTAGCTAATGGCGTGCCATCATCATCATTCAGTGGTCTAGTTAATGAGTCCTCGTATTCTTCCGTGCATTCATTCACTCCATCTAAATCAGAAGCTTGAAGCATACGTGTAAAGAATATGTCACCCACTGTGGTCATCGCTTGATCGGGGAAGTTTCTGGAATCTATAGTGACCTGAAGACCTCGAAGCATTGGATTTTCTAAAACTGTTCTTTGCATTGCATTCTTCGGAAATGTTAACACAACATCTGTAACATTATGAAGAGCGTATGAGAAATCTGAGCTAATACCTTCAGGAGTGATGCAACCTCCATTTAGTGAACGAACGTCAATATGTTGAGCTGGAATCATGAATGGATCTTCCTTACTGAATAAACGTGGTATTGCTTTAACTGATTCTTCAATTAAACCGTATCCTGGTGTAATGCATTTATCCTCTAAAACTTCCATCTTTGTGCATGAAATAATAACGTCATCAACTGTTGCGTCAGCAGATGTAGCGGCTAAGCTTGTAATTAATTTGGCAGGAAGTCCGATTTGTTGGAATTTGCGATCATATTTATAAACATGATTCATAATCTTTTCATAATTTTCATCAGTTATCTTTTCATAAACGTAATTTTGTAAATCAGCAACTCTTAACGGGTCAACCTGACAAAATACTAAAGTATCCCTGAAAACATAATATTTAAGAATGATT